TAGTACAGTACATTGAACATATAGTAAGTATGCATAATACATGTTATTTGAATTGTCTTTCATAGTCATGCATGTGAAGAAACTATTTCTTGGAAAGAAATTAAGATAGTATGTGCTACCACGCTGGGTTTAGAACTTCTAAGGTGCAAGGAAACATTAGAAATTTGAGTTCATTAAAAATGCTTTAAAAGAAGGCCAAAAGTTTATAGGACTCTCTCTGGTTATCTGGGATGCTGGCATAAAGTAGACACTTGGCAAGAACTTGTTGAATTGAATGTGATTGTCAGTGGCAGGGAAAATCTTCTGTTTAAAATATTTATACACACTCCTTTTCAGTAGGCACCACCATTCTTCTAGTCACTGAGATTTGTAACCTCAGCCTTATATCTAACCTCTGATTCTCTTCACTCTATTTATCAAATTGGTTACCAAATCTTACCGTTAACAGTACTTCAGTATCTCTGTATCCAACCCCTTCTTTCTCTGTGTACAATTGGCACCACCCTAGTTCAAGTCTTTGTTACCTATTTCTGGACTATTGCCATTGCCTCCTAAGTGGTCTTACCTGCTTCAAGTCTCTCCCTACCCCAAACCATCATCCATATGCCTTCCCAAGTTATTATCCTTAAGGGCAGATCTGACCTTGCCACTTCTGTAATCAAAACTCCAGTGGCCCCTTATTGCCCCTAGGATAAAATATGACCACCTTTATTTGGCTTTTAATCCCTCTTTCACCTGACTCTAGCCTACAGTTCCATCCTTATAGATCACTCCCCTTCCCATATGCTGTGGTCTGGCCAAACTACCCTCTCCCTATGTTCTTCATGACTATCTGTTTTGCACTGGCCATCCCCCATACCTGGAAAGAATTCCCTCCTTATCTCTTTCCTCAAGCTTAAGCACTACCTTCCACAAAGAAGTCTTCCCCACCCCACCCCCAATAGAATGGTAGCTCTTTGGAGAGTAAAAATTGTTTCATTCATCATATTTTTTATCTCCATCACCTGGCACATTAGGTGTTTAGTAAATGCTTACTTAGTGATTTGTATGAATATTCTCCATTCAGACTAGCTCAAGTATGTGTATATTTTATATTTCAAAGTCTTTTTGATGCTTCTGCCTTAATGTCTTTTGAATCTTCCCTGACCTACATTTAACCTCAATTTGTTCTTTCTGCTTATAAATTATTTTCCTCCCTTTAGTCTTTTACTGGTCCAGTAGAAAGGATGCTGGGTTTGGAGTTAGAGGGCCTCAGTTCAAATCCTAGCCCTGTTCTTTACAGTGCCCATGTTGCCTTTGGCAAAGTCATTTAACATCTGGAATGCAACTTCCTCATTTGAGGGGAGGGAAATGAAGGAGTTCAGCCAGATGACCTCTAAGGTTCCTCCCAACTCTAAATATAAGATGTTGTGAGACACAAATATCTTAAAGTTAAGTCTCTGTAGTTCCCTAAGTGCCAAATTGCCGTGTGTGTATTTTTGCCAAACTATGAATACCCTTTATCAATATTGGCATAAAGGCCTTTTATAAAATATTCAGTATAGTTAGTGATAGAAATGGAAAGGATCTTGGAGGATAATCTAATTTAATCCCTGCCTCAATCACTTAACAAGTATTTATATTATAGGTAAAGAACCTCAGACCTAAGTTACTTTTTTCAAAATCATACATCAAGGTGATGGCATTTTACCCCATGTTGATTTTCATTTTGCTTATTGGCAATCCTCTTCCCTACCCCTCACCCCCGGCCCTTTTTTAGTAGATTGATAGTATTAAAATATAGGAATATAGATTGATAGTAAAATTGAGCATTTCACCTTAATAATTACTACAAATATAAAATGAAACTTAATTCTCATCATAAAACAATAAGCCTACTAATTGTTCTTCATTCATTTAGTTTTTCCTGTGTGGATAATAAGGCCTAAATCTTGACTGATTGTAGATTTCTTTAGGAAACTGCAATGTTGTAGAATTCAGTCTGTTCAGATCAATATCATTTGCAAATAGGAATATCTTCAGTACCTCACCATCTGTAGGGAATGCTTTCATTTGGCCTCAGTAGTAAACATCCTTTATGATAGTGGTAAACACTTGGTGAGCATACATCTCCCCGTTTTTTGACTCTTAATATCAACCATCAGATGGTCATGAAACAATTATTTGTTACTTTTTTTTTTTACAGAATCTTGTATGATTTTGGTATTTGCATGGAATTAAAACTTTGTGTGAGGGGAACCTTAAGGCATCAAATGCTTTTTTTAATAGTCAACAAACATCATTACCTTCCACATATTTGAAGACAGCTACCCCAAAAGCTTTTATTTAAGGCTAGGCTTTTCCATCTGACACTTGGTTTTTGTTTCATTCCCCATTCTAATCATTCCTGGTTAGGTACATTCTAGCTTATTAGTATCTCTCCTTAAGGTACAGCACCTAGGAATCAACAAAATGTGTCCGATGTAGTCTGAGTCAGGGAAAGGTACAGTGAATATTTCCTTCTTTGACTCAGATACAGTTCTTGTATTAATGCAAAGTAATATTAGTTATATCACATGATCCTTCTTTCAAGCCAGATTTTCCCTGTTTTATTCTTATACAATAGCTCCTATTTAATTCAGGCTCTTATCACCTCTTGCCTGAACTATTAAAATATCTTACTGTAAATCAGTCTTCCTTCTCAAATCTCTTTTCTCCAGTACATTCTCTGAGACACAGCTGAACACATCATTCCCATCCTGTAAACTGCAGTGGCTCCCAATTATTTCTAGAATCAAATGCAAACTTCTGTTTGGTATTTAAAACCCTTCACACCCTGGCTTCAACCTACTTTTCTGGCCTTATTATACATTAGTCCTCTTCATGTACTTAATTAGAATGACTTATTCTTAGTGAATCCATGTGGACTCTCAATGTTCACTATTTTCTTTTTAATTCATCTATTTAATAATCTGAAAAATTTACAAGGTATTATGACACACTCACTGATACATAGTTTCCAAAATCTGTCATTTATCATGAGTAGATGAAATAAAGAGTGTTCTAGGAAAACACTGGTGTCATTAGTTTTAAATAAAGCAAGAATGATTTATTAGACTTATTAAAATGCCATATTTTAATATAAAAATATGTGAAGAATTTTTAGCATTAATCCATAATTTCATATGTATTTTCCTACATATTTTTGGTAGTCTTTATAACCTCTATGTCCAACCTATTTCTAAATGGATCATAATAAATAGTATATGGATTTGTTCATTGTAGTTGCCTCTTTGTCAGTAATTGTTTTACTTGCTGTTATGTCATTCTACAAAATCTGTCAGAAGAGAAGTTAGTCTTTGCATTTGAGTGTTAGTACTGTAATGTATTTAAGAATTTTAAAAATTGTTCTCATTGAACTGACAGTCATTTTACTGATTTAAAAGTTTTGATTATTCTAACCAGTTGTAATTTAACATACTTAATCTAATTAGCAATAGTTAGTCTTATTCATGTGTCTTATCTATTTGGGAACTTTTCAAAATGGTAAGTTCTGACATAGCCAAATATGTAATTCTTTTACCCTGTAGAGATTAATCTTGTTCTTTGCAGTGGGTGTATTCTAGGGCTTGTCTATAAAGATAGTGGGGGGGGGGTATTTTTTGTTTGTTGGTTTGTTTTGTGATTTTATAATAAAAGTCGAAAGTATGTTCCACCTTTAGTTAGAGAGAGGTTAAGATAACCAGCCCTTTGGTTTCATGAAGGACATTATAGTATACCCCGCCCACACACACAATTTTTACTGTGTCTGGAGATTCCTGACCCAGAGATTACAGAGATTTGGGCAGCTAGGTGGTACAGTGGATAGAGCATTTGGGCCTGGGGTGAGAAGATCTAAGTTCAGATCTGGCTTTAGATACTTACCAGCTGTGTGATGCTAGGCATGTCACTTAACCCCTATTTGGCTCAATTCCTCCAAAAAAAAAAATAGGACACACTGGAGAAGGATGTGGCAGATCACTCCAGTATCTTTGCCAAGAAAATTCCATGTATTTTGTCCATGGGGTCATGTAGAGTTGGACATGACTTAACAACTGAACAACAGGAGTCTTGTTTTCTCTTACAAAGAATTATCATTTCATATACAATTTATTTCACCTTGAAAATTAGCTCAGCATCAGGGTTCATGTTATGTGAAATGAGTTCTCAAAGTTATACAATACGTGTGTCTAATTTACTTATGATGTTAAATACCTATGTAGTCTTCCCTAGGTTGATTTTCCTATTAGAATCTTACTGCCTTCATTGCAGCAAAATTAACTTAACATTTGAAGGGAAATGTATGTTGGAATCCATAATATAGGACAACCCCAGCTTATAAACAAGTGTGTTTCCGAAGTTCTCTAGCTAAATTTAGAGAAATTGGCTCCAGGGTGATGATTTTATCAGCCATAATAACTTTGTTTGGAACTTAAAATGCATTTTTCTATAGAAATTCGTTTACACATAGTGGTTAGGCTCCCAGGCTACCCCACAGATTTCTTTTTAACCCAGAACATAGCTGGGAATCTAATTATCATTTATGGCATTGTTTCTGTGGGCAAATGCATTCCATGGTGAGAAGAGAATGTAGTGGCTGGAAAATGCTGATGTTCCCAGGCTCAGCCATGCCAGCTGCCTGACTTTTGATGAGAAGTGAATAAAGCAACAGCAGGAACATTTCTTTCCATCACAGCAGCTTCTGGCTTCCTGCTGCATTATGAGAAGAGAACAAGGAAACTCTAGAAATACTTCTGCTCTACCTTAGGTTCAATGTTGGGGAAAAGAGAGTACCCTGAAGAACTTAGGGCATGTGAGGAGAGCAGACAGGCAGCTTGGAAGTGGGATTTGCAGTCAGGTGTTTGCAGTTTGGGGAATATATGTAGTTCTCATTTTCTGTTACTGTTATTAGGCAATGTTAAATGTCTTAATTATTTGCAAAAGACTGAAGAGAACTTTTTCTTCTGTGTCTATGGTAACAGGCCTCAGGAGTGCAAGTAGCTGATGAAGTATGCCGCATTTTCTATGATATGAAAGTTCGGAAATGTTCCACACCAGAAGAAGTCAAGAAAAGAAAGAAGGCAGTTATCTTTTGTCTCAGTGCTGACAAAAAATGCATCATTGTGGAAGAAGGCAAAGAGATCTTAGTGGGAGATGTTGGTGTAACCATTACTGATCCTTTCAAGCATTTTGTGGGAATGCTTCCTGAAAAGGATTGTCGCTACGCTTTATATGATGCAAGCTTCGAAACAAAGGAATCAAGAAAAGAAGAGTTGATGTTTTTTCTATGGTAAGCATTACCAAAATATGGAACTCAGCTGATTTGAGATGATAGTATTTTCTTATGATATTCTTTAGAACTGCATTCTGGGACTAAACTTACTTGTTTAATTTTTGTAATGAGCTTAATATAATCATGGGAATGCTTAATTTTGGTTGTTCAACCTAGCATCACTTCATAGTCTCCTTAAGATTGGACCTAAGTTGTATGAGTTACCATTTAGAAATTTGAATAAGCTTATATATAGCTTCTGTTACTAATTATAAGTTAAAATCTTTTTCTATGAAATATCTTCTGGTATAAGCAACAGAAAAGTGGTAATTTGTTCAAATATGCAACTCCTTTTCCATTACATCCAGTCTCAGAAATGCACATACAGGTAGGTGTACCCTGATTAATTTTCCTGTGCCTCTTTTAGCTTTGAGCTGGGAGTTGTAATTTACAAATTACAACATTTATTCATTAAACACATTAGTACCTACTAAATAGTTCCACTCCAATATCTTTCTGTAGTATTGAAATGACCTGGGATTCCTGAAGGCTATACCATCGGAAAGTATCTCTGACAGGTTCTGTCAAGATAGAAAGACTGAGTATGGGTTCAGCAGTAGACTGTATGTTTACTGTCTTGAGGACCAGTATAGCTAAATTTAGAGGCTTATTATGAGGTTGGTCTCAGGATAATTACTTTTTCAGTCATGACAGCTCTTAGAGACATTCTACCAAGTTGTAAATGGACTGCAATCTGTATTGTTGCAGTGAATATGAATTATAGCTACTGAGGCAAATGTATAGAACTCTGCAGCCTGATTCCTGATTCCTTATTCCACCTCTTTCAATCTGCTCAAATTAAGATGACTGACCAGTCTGGTTCCCAGGTAATTTGATAGAGCCTGCTGTATCAACTTTCCAGTTTTGGACTGGTCCTCTAACAGTTTCCTCATCTATAAAATGAGATTTGATTAGATGTTTCTAGGGTCTTTCCCCTTTCTATATTCTGTGATCCTAAACTTAACAAAGCTGGAAAATTACATATTTCTCTCCCTCCCCCCTTTTTTTAAACTGCTAGCTTATTTGTAGAGTTAAAAATGCAAATGCTGCCTTTTAAAATTAAGAGTCTACCACCAGTCATTCAATTTAGTGTTTCTAGGAAATCCCAAGGTAAAAGGATTGCTGCTACTAAAGAGCAAAGGCAAGATCATGGAACCGTAGATAGAGTTGGAAGAGACCTTAGAGGTCATTGAGTCAGAGGGTTTTTAACCTAGGATTTGTGAGCTTATTTTAAAAATATTTTAATAATTGTATTTCAATATAATTGTTTTCTTTTTAATCCTGTATGTTTTATTTTGTGCATTTAAAAATATTCTTAAAATGGGTCCATAAGTTTCCTGAGATTGTCAAAGGAGAGAACATTAAAAAAAAGAAGTTTAAAAAACCCTAATCTGATCCAACTCCTTCATAGATGAGTATTATAGATAAGTAACTCGTCCCTAAGAGATTAAGTGAATTGCCAGAGATCCCACAGAGCGGCACAGCTTGTAAACTTCCAGCTGCAGATAGTTCAGACTAGAGAAAGACTGACAAAGGTTGGTTGCTGGGTCATTTGACAAACAGGAGAGAGTGCACAATGGCAGCCCTACATTTTTGCAGGCAGCCCAAAATCCTTTGGGGGCTGTATGTTGTCCAGGCCTGGATTAGAACAAGGTCCTTTGACTCCCAATGCAGTATTTTTTTCCATTGTCATTGCTCTGGTATGTGTAAAATACCTGGTTATGCAAGGAAGAGAAGAGGCTTCTTGTGATCCCTTGGCAGTGTGCATACTGGGGGGACGGCAGGATGGATGGTGGGAGACTCTTGCCTGAAAAGGGAAAGCATAGTTGTACAATCCCAGCCCATTTTAGGGTGGAAAGAGACTGTGCTCTCTGAGCTTTTATGATGGTAGTATGTCAACTAGAAATGTATTGTGGTATAGAAAATAGAAAGTGGTCTCAGAATCACGAAGACCTTGGTTTAAGTTCTACCTCTGTCACACATTGGTTGTGTGACTTACTAGGTAAGCCCCTATCAGTGTTTCTCTGAATTCTAATCTGTATTGGTAGAGGAAATTTCTTTATCAGGCATACACGGGGAGCATATTGCTTTAGAAAATCACATCAATTAACATTATTTATGTTCTGTAGTATTCTGTTTTGTTAAATATATTTTTTACCAATTATATTTTAATCTGGTTTAGTATTCAGAAGTGTAGAGTGTTTTTTATGCTTCTGCCCTACACCATTGAAATCACAAGTCCAGAACAAAACAGACAAACAGAAAGTCCAGCAACACTTAATTTTGTAACTTTACACCTTGAGGTTTGTGCAAATCGGTGTCATTAGTGGTTCTTTTCTTTCTGCAGTATTAAAATGGTGCTTTTCAATGGAGCCATTATATATGTAGCATTTATGTTTTCACTCTAAAAATAGATCCACTATAACTAATTTTTTTTTTGAGAATAATACAGTATTAGCAGAAAGTGAAATGGTGACAGGAAGATAGCAGAAAAAAAACAAGGGGGAAACTTTGTTTTCTCAGGTACCATATTTAAAGAAATGCATAATTTATTAACAGTTCCTAGAAGCAAGAATTTAAAGATTACAGATTTGCATTCACATTTAGTAAGAGTGATAAACAAGCTTTTGATAGTCTTATTTTTGAAATTTTCCCCAGGATAGGATTGTATCACTACTGCCTTTTAATTTTAATCTGTTCTAATTACTAAAGTGACGTGCTTTTTATCAAAGCGATTTATAACATTTCAGTATAGTTTTCTTTTCAAGAAGGAAAAAAATACATCTAGCTGTTAGTCTTCTCTGATTTTCCATCAGGTTAGTATGTATTTCAATACGAGTTCAAACAAGGCATAACTTTTGTATCCTAGTAATTTTATCATAGTGTAATACATTTATGCTATATTTTTGGAAAAGGGAAAAGAATCTATTCATAGCAGAAACATCAATGTATGAGTTCCTTACGGGGAGTATTCTAGTCTCATCCCTGTATCCTGCAACTTGACAACAGAGAGTTCTTGGAAACCCAAATCTAGTGATTGAATGTTAGGTTTGTCAAGGAAGCTAAGGCTGCTGTCCTTGAGAGGTGCAAAGAATTGAGGTTCTACTTACCCGTTAAGAAGGTATTTCTACTTCAAAATTAGAAAGGACGAGATCTGAGATTCTTATTGCATCTCATTTCATCTCAATGCTTGAGTCAGAGCAAACAAGATTGTTTAGAAAGGTTGATAATTACCTTTCCTAGCAACTCAAGGATAAACTGATCACATATATTCATTAGGTACTTTCTTCTCTGAAAGTTAGGGAATATATTAGGTGAAATCTCTTGACAGCATGATTTTTTTTTTACTTGACCATCATTGATAACTAATGTGAAAGAAGGGCTAGTACTACCTAACTGTTTTCTTTGATTGCAGTAGTAGGACATTTTTGAGCACTGTTGCTAAGAAAAAAGTGAAGCTTAAATTGTTTTTAGTATTCCTTCAGGAGCAGAAGACGTGAAGTTTATCTTAATGTAAAGACATATGGACATTCGACAATAAATCCACAACTTGTGAATGGACATTGTTGCTAAATGCTATGTATGGCTTATAGAAGAAACCATTCTCTGATTACTGTTTACATTTTTATTCTTATCCTGCATGCCTTAGGATATACTGGCATTCCTTCCAACTCTGAGACTATATAAATTTGTCTCAGCTATTCTGAGTGACTTCTCCCCTTTCCCACCTTCCCCATATTTGCCGGTGGAAATCCCTTCTTTCTTTCTAGGCTCTAGTCAGAGGTCATCTTTTTATAAAGTTTTCCCTGCATTTAATCCAAAATCAAACTCTCACTACTCAAATTTCTCAGCAGTTTTTGTGGTTATCACCTTGACGCTTATGTTACAGGTACTTACATATATGCCTGAGCATTTCTATTAGATTGTAGGGACCTTGAATGAAAGGAGTGTCGTAGTTCATGTTTGTGAAATAAAAGTATGCTCCCTAGACTCTATGTTGAATTGAATTATTATTTTAACAACCTTTTTGTACCTTTATCCAGGGCACCAGAATTAGCACCTCTCAAAAGTAAAATGATCTATGCAAGCTCCAAGGATGCAATCAAAAAGAAATTTCCAGGTATGAATTAATTTCCTGATGGATTCAGGTAATGGGAACAATGGGTAGAAATTGAAAAAAGGAGGTTTTAGGTTTGATGTGAAGAAAAACTTTCTCATTATTAGAGTTATCCTAAAGTGAAATGGGCTACCTTGGGATTAAGCAGATTCCCCCTCACTAGAGGTATAAAAGCAAAAGCTGGCTATGGTTTGTACTAGATTATCCCTTCCCACCCAGATTCTATGGGAAGCTCCTCAGAGACTCTCTCTCCCCCCTCCTATGGAAGTGCAAAGTTTTATTTCTGGAAGCCTATTGTCCGAAAGAGAGATGCTATCAGTGTTTCCTTTGTTTCAGAAGTTAAAACAGAGACTGAGTACAGAGAGATGAAAGCATCCTCTGCTAACCACAATTGGTGCCATATGCTGCTTGTGCCTCCTGCTTAATTTTCTTGGCTATGTACTTAGTCCCTCCATTTTGGTTCTAAATGTGTGGTTTAATTGGTTAGTTAGCACTTCTTATACTCTTGTATCTTCTAAGTGATAAACTATGTTAATTTGGAACTTAATGAAATTGAATTGTGCAAAACAAACAAACCTTTTCACAAATGGAATAGTATGTCCCTGACTTTGGAACAAAGGGAACTTGAGTGCTGTGATTTTTAGATAAGCCAGCAGATTTTGTAGATGGGAAGGGAATGGACAGCTTATTTCTCTGTGGCCTATTGCTGTTTCTGCAGGGTCCTAATAATCACCCAGATTTTAGGAGGGCTATAAATATTAACTTAATTGTAGGAAATTTTGAAACTAAATCCTTCTAGTGACTAGTGAATAGTTTTACTAGAAGGATGGAACATAAATATTGACATACTGTAAATGAAGTTGTTTTGTATTGCGTATCTAAAAGCAATAAGAACATTATTTCATAGGATACTTAAGCATTTCATATTACAGTGCTTATGATAAGCATCTGAAGAAAGACCTTTGTGTCAATGCAGGTACCAGTTAATGGTGGATTAATTCGCTAATGGTGAAACACGGTTTTGTGCCTCTGGACAAAGAGGTGGCAGACTATGGCTACAAAATGAGGCATATAATTAGCTGTCTCTTAAGTACTTAGGCTATCCTATAGTAAAGAAATTAAACTTGTTATATTTCACCCTAGATGGCAGAACTGAAAGCAGAGGGTAGAAGTTGAAAATAAGTACATTTAGGCTCGCTATCCTCCCAAACAAAAAAACTTCCTAAGAATTATAATTATCCCAGAGTAGAAATGGGCTGCCTCTGAAGTTACTAGTTTCTTCCTCATTAGTGGTCTTAAGCAAAGGTTTGATAACCAAAAAACCATGGGTTTTTTGCATGTGGTTGAACTAGATGGCTTCTGTTCCTTCCAACTTGGGAAAGATTGAAGAAAAAAGCAACCAAGAAATTATCAATAACTACTGACTCGATATTTATTCTTTTACAGGTCTAAGACATTCTTGATTTAGATATGAGAGACAGGCTTTCACAAGTGATATTCTTTAGCAGACCAAACCTGTTTAATCAATAATTAATCAGCTACCACGTGCCAGGCACTGCACTAGATACTGAGGGTACTAAGCAAAGAATGGAAGTCACTGTCCTCAAGGAGCTTCCATTTCATCAAGGACACATGTACAAAATATAAGTAAATACGAAAAGAAATACAAGGTAGTTTGATGGATATGCCACTGACTGAAAAATGCAGAAAATACAAGGTCCCACTGTGTTTTGTTCATTGATTATTTTTAAAAAGCATTTGATATTAGTAGAATGAAAATAAACATCATTTTAAAGATTTTCCTCCCAAAAGATGTCTCCCTTCATATATTAAAATCGCACAAGATTCCTTGGGGGAAAAAAATGAGAACTTGATTCTGTGACCTGATTGCTAATATCAAAATAAGACATATATGCTCACCAAAGGTGTTTGGCACTGGCATGGAATTATGTCCAAATGGAAGAGATATTTTCTTTGGTGAGGACTTTTCAGATGCATTTGTTGGTAAATGATAACTGTGTTGACTGTAGCAAGCCCTTTAATATTTCAAAGTCTTCTGTAATGAAATGAAATATATGATCACTCAGCAAAAGAATTTAGCTGAACTATACACATAGGAAAAAACAAAGCATATGAAGAATGTAATCAGGAAGATCTGAGTTCAAATTCAGCTGCAGCCACTTACTAGCTTTGTGACCCTGGGAAAGTCACTTAGCCCTATTTGCCTCACTGTTTTTGCCAAGAAAACATCATGAACAGAGTCCATGGGGTCACCTGGAGTTGGACACGACCGAACAACAGTAACAGCAAAGAGAATGATGAGAATGAGTGCTTTCAGTGACATCTAAGTTCTTCCTGAAACAAAGATCCATCTTATTTTTTAAAAATTCAGTGTACTTCTAGGGATGCCATCATCTGTGTGTCATGAAAGAATTAAATAGTGATTCATTTAAAAAGCACTGGAAAGATGCATAGCTGGGACAAGTAGACTGCAATGTGCTACCAGCAAAGAATTATGAAGGAATATAAAACTAAAGAATATCATAAGGAAGATGTATGACTGAAAAAAGGAGGTGGGCCAGCTACGTAGCAAAAATGAGGAATAACCAGCTGAATAACCAGTTTACATGTTTCAGTAGTGTCAACAGTGTAAGAGGGTAGTAGCAGCAAAAGCACATATATTACAGTACAATAGTATATTCCATCACAGTCGCGTACCATGATTTGTTTAGTCATTCCCCAAGAATTTAGTGATTTTTAATTTGTCATAGAAAAGCTATAATATTGCAGAACTCGTGCTTGATTTGAATTTTTTTAAAAAAAAGATTGTGCACAATTGTTGTAGCTGTTTAATTTCTATATTAAACAGAATGATCTGAGGTAAAATAATTGGTTTTTATAGCCAGCAAGATTCTTGATGGAAATTTTCCAGCTTTGATTTTAGTAACTCTCAATTAAAATTGGTATTTCATTGATGCTCCAAACCAAGCTTGTCAGAGCATCTCCACACAGATCTCAAAAATCTAGCAATTAGATGTAAAGATAATTATAAACTGCTTCATTAAATGAATTGTAATTTTTTTTTTCTTCAGGCATTAAACACGAATGTCAAGCAAATGGACCAGAAGATCTCAACCGAGCTTCTATTGCTGAGAAACTAGGAGGGTCCTTAATTGTAGCTTTTGAAGGATGTCCTGTGTAGATGATCATTCAGTGCCACAAGTTGAAAAGCTTCCATGTTTAATGTATCTTCTTGCTAAATATGTAAAACAAATATACTTAGGCCAGGGTTTCACTGAGGGGGAGCTGTCTTGTTCTAGATTAAACTAGATATTATATAAACCTGTATAAAATAACCCTAAATAAATCTAAAGTCTAAAGTTTCATTGGTTGTAAATTAAATTTTTGCTGTCTGACAGTCTATTTGGCAAGTTGGCTTTAAGATTATTGTTTAAGCTCAGGGTTTTTAATTATACAATTAAAACAAAAGAAAAAAGTGGCCATAAGGATAGAATGGAGAATAGGCATTTTTGTAACTTCTATAGTTACTATCTCTCCTTTGATTTACCATATTGTTCATAATCTGATGGCAACTTAGGCCCATTTTAAAAAAAAACAAACCTTCCTTGAGCTAAATAGGAACTGGCTTTAAAGGTTTGAATGAAAGCATTTCTCCTCAAAAATTCTAAAACAATACTAACCCACTAAATACAATAGTAAGTCAAGTCAGGCTGTCTTCACTTGAACAGTTAATGTGTGAGAAAGACTGCCTTAAATTTGTGTACACAAGTAGTAAAAGCTAATCTTTCAAAGCACTATTTAAAGCACATAGCACACAGGAAGCAACTCCTCGAACCTATGGTAAAGCTCTTCTATTCACTGGCTGTGAGACTTTGTTCTGATGAAATAATCTCATTCTGGAAATCACAATGCATTCTGGAGTGATTGTGGAATACCTTTATGTTACACCAAATTATGACACAAAACAAATTCTAGCTCTACAGTAACTTGGTTTGTCGATGAAAATGACAGAACATTATGTTAACAAGCTAGGGGGCTTGTGATATCTTGAATCGTGTTATCCTTCAGAACTATCCTGCTTCTAGTACTGTAAGCTATGGAAGATCATTAAGCAGATGTTTACTTTGGGACATGGGGAGACTTCTTAATTTCCTGTAGAGATATGTTGATTGTACATGAAATGGGTAACAGGTATGAAACATAATACTCACTTTAATCATCTACTTTATGAAAGCTTTCAGTGATTGTCTTAACACCATGGGCGTAACATTTTTGAACAGTGTAGACATGCACAAACAAATCTAGAGGTAGCAGATTGGCTTTATTTAATAAAGGAAGCATTTTTAACTAGTCTCCTGTGTAATTTATTCATGTGTTCGTTCAGGACAGAGGACTTCCTATCTCAACAGTTGTGAGGACCAGTTGAGATGATATATGTAAAGCATGTTGCAGACTTTGAAGTACTAAATAAATATCCTCTGTTGTTAACATTTAGCCTTTCTAGGATATGAAATGTTCATGACTTACACAATCCTGATGCCAGAACACTAATCCAAGGGAATCTATCAGATTACCAAATTAAACAGATTAGCAAATACAAGAAAATTCAAGATGGAAAACAATGCCCACTTAGAGGCATTAGCCATGACTTTATAAAGGGATGACACCTGAGCTGAATCCTGAAGGAAAGGTAGCGATTCTGAGAGTCAGAGGTAGGAAGGAAGAACAGCCTGGGCAAAAGAATAGAGATGGGGATGGACTGTTGAATTTGAACAGCTAGCAGGTTTTCAAGCTTATTTAGGATAATGTAAAATGTGGGAATTGAGAAAAGGGGAAAGTCTAGAAAGTTAGGTAGGAGTTGGATTTTAGAGGGTTTTGAATGCCAATATTAGGGTTGTACATTATGCTGAGGCATTAGGGAGACACTGAAGATTTTGGAGCAGGAGAGTGACATGGTCATACTTATGTCTTAAAAATATTAAGGAGGATGGATTGGAGAGGGGGAAAGACTAGAAGCAAGGAAACAAATTAGGAGCCTCTTGCAATGTTCTAGGAGAGGTAATGAACCAAGATGTTATCTGTGAGTCAGGAAAGAGGATGGATTTGAGATTTGGTACTGTTTTCACAAGATTTGGCAACTGGGTGATTTTGACCAAAGTGAAGGGGGAAAGTGTCAAATTGGGAGGTGGGAACAGGGAGGGAAATGTTCAGTTTGTGGAAAGGTGTGTCCTTGAGGTGATACGAAGGTGAAACTATTCAGAGGATATTTGTGTGGAAACCTGGAGTTAGGAACAAATAAGAGCCGATTACCTAGTTATGGGGATTCATCTGCACAGAGATAATTGAGCCAATGGAACCTGATAAGTGTATGGAGAAAGAACAGGGGCTCTGTTTTGGTACACAGGCACTTAGTGATGGGATCTAAATGATTTCGCAGTCAGCATTGGTCAGATAGGAGAACCAGGAAAGAGCAGGAGTATTCTAGAACCCAAGGGAAAGAGGGTATCCAAGTTGTGGTTGGAGATGTCAAAAGATGCAGAGAAGGCAAGTCGAATAAAGACTTGAGGAAAAACGGTTCATAGTTCAAATGATACTCTTGGAGAGAGTACTTTGTTAGGAAATGGATTCCTGCGAGGGGTAGTTGGACTCTTAGGGATTTGGCTGTGAAGGATAGACTTAATATAGCATAATAGCTTGAGGGAATGGAAGAGCCATGTGAAAGTTTTAATAATGGGAGACCCAGCATATTGGGAACAAAGGAGAGAGATTCAGGAGAGGCAGTTGAGAGAGGGGAACCCTGGAGGGGATGGGATCAAAGACGGATAGGAATTGGACTCCACAAGGAAAAAGGAGAATGGGGGTCACTGTAGAGGAATATTGAGGTGTGGATTCGGGGATAAGGAGTTCACAAGGTATGCCTTATCTCAGGTAAATAGCAGAAAGGGAACATGGAGGGAAGTGGTGGTAGGAGCTTGAAGAGAGAACTTTGAGTTATTTTCCATGAGGATTGTGCAGCAAGAAAGCCCCAGTTGAGATTAGATACCATGTTAGTGGGCCAAGTGGGTGCAGTTTAGTAGGCCAAGAAGGAAAGGAGGATGGCCACTGTAGATGGTCTAGAGTTGGTGTTGGATTGTCTAACTATAACTTGAGAGCTATCCTAGCTACATTTGGAGGAGTCAGTGCCGGGGGATTGGTCTTGAAATTTTTCAGCCACAGCTACTCATGAAGTGATCAAAGTGTGAAGGGATTACAACCTGCCTTGGTCAAGGAGGAAGTCATGTACCTACTTCTGAGGTCAGAAGTCATGGGACACTGAAGTATTAAAACCTGATTCATCTAATTGCTCTTTTCAGAAGGAATCACATCAGAAAGGAAATAAAGTCCTGAATTCTTTTTTATTTTAATGAAAATTTCATATAACCGAGATAGAATGGGTAGAATGCTGGGTTTGGAATTGAGAACACTGAATTTAAATCCTGCTTCAAAGACAGGTTGTGATGGAGGGCGAGTTACCCTGTTTTTCTCTTCTTGGGTAGCTAGGTGGCATTATGGACAAAGGTCTGAAGAAGGCCCGAGTTTAATTTGGGCTTCAGACTCTAGCTGTTCGACCCTATGCAAGTCATTCAACTTCTGTTTGACTCAATTTCTTCAACTGTAAAATGGGGATAATAATAGCATCTGTTTCCTGCATTGTGAGGATCAGAGATGATAAATGTAGAGTGCTTTGCAAACTTTAAAATGCTCTTTAAGTGCCAGCAGTTCTCACAACAAGGGAATCTAGCTCTTCACTTCCCATTTCCCCCAGCAATACTTTTTTTGCCTCAACAAGGGAAATACCATGTTTTATGCTAAGTACATCCTGCCCCACTGGCAGCTACCATTATTTAGCCAGGAGTGACATAGCTTTAAGACTGTTCTATGCCAGCTCTTTGGCTTTGGGACAGAACATTTGGGGAGGGGTGGTGGGTGGAGAGTATAAGCCTTTGTACCAGGCACGGTTTTAAGGGCTTTGTGAAACCACCCTGTGAGGTTAGGTACTATTATCCCCATTTTATAGTTAAACAGGCAGGGGTGGTGACTTCCCCAGGGTTACAGCTATTAAGTGTCTGGGGTAATATTTGAACTTACTATGTGTTTTCCTGACTCAGCATCTTATCCACTGAGTCACCTGGCTTTGTTCAGGCAATGTACTGAGAGGGAGGGGATGCTGGCTTTATTCTGTCATCATTCTGCAAGAGGAACCAGCCAGCACCTAAGAAGCAAGTCCTTGGTAGTAAGTAGCAGGAACAGCACCATTGTGTCCATGGGAAGAGGGCTTGTAAAGGGCAAGGGTGTCACATTTAATAATGCCCACGTGGCAGCACATGGGTAACAAAAAGTGGAGTTTGGTTCAGAGCATGAAGAATACTCAGCTAACCATTTATTAGCTAACAACTGGATTCGGATCTGGGGATATTTGCAGACATTCAAAAAAAAAAGTCTTTGCACTTAAATATTGACTTCAAGGTCATTATTTCTGAGGGGCATGGCAGAATGAGCCCTAGTCTCACCTCTACCCCTTAACACTTTGGGCAAATTTGGGACAATGCAATTTTCCATTACCAAAATGAAGTAGTTGAACTAAGTGATCTGTAAAATGAAGGGAATTGTTCCCTTTGGGTACAGGCCTTGTTCCATATTTTCAATTAAAATTCTAGCTGTGCAGGTTAATGCAAAAAGTCTATGTGAACAGCCAAGCACTTCACAAACAGGTGCCTTTAAGTACAGAGTTCCTTCTAGATTTAGGAGTTCCCTTACAAGTTCATTATTTAACGAAGGTGCTGCTGGCAGAAAAACATAAATGAAGCCTGATCAAGAATGGGGGCTGAAGGATAAAATTTCAAAGAACAAGAATCACTGGGAAAATAATTTGCTTACTATGTTGTTCAGAAATACATTAAGCAGGGTATACCTACAGTAAGACCAGTGACTTGTGGTCTTAAAATCACTGAGCTACTGGGTGGCCTTAGCAGTAACAGTCTCTGCTGACACAGGAAACATTGCTTCTGTTTCTTGACCTGGTTCATCAGTTTCTGGACCACCAGGGGTGGAAATATTAGATGAAAGACATCACTTCCTTTTGCCCTTTATATAACTATACTGGCTCCAAAGGGAGTTCCAGCCAGGCTGCAGCTGGAAAACAGTAGATACAACATGGCCAGTTTGGCCACTATTGAGAGAGACTCAGTTCCTGGATTGAGAATTTTGATGGGAGGGAAGCACAGGCATAGTGAAAAAATGATATCCTGGACAGCTCACATTCCAGGTCTTATCCAGAAGGATCCTAAGCTCAAGGGTCCCCACAGCCTGGGGATTTGGGTGGGTCTAGATGTTTTAATTACTATCTGAGACTTAGGTACCAGAGACTTCTCTCTGTAAAACAAGGATAATTTCCAAGCTGATCTAATGTGATAGGAGAAAACTGGTTCTGAGATAAGATGGAAAAAAATATTTAGGTTGGGTACTAGCTATCTCTGTGAGAGACTGAAGTGGTTTACCATTAGGGTCTCTTTCAGGTTGAAGTATTCCTCAAAGAACCCTTGTCAGACAATAAAATACAGTAAGCATTATACTACTTTCCTGTCCCTTGAGATGGCACCAACCTATTGCTTAGAGCCAGCTAGGTGGCACAGCTGATGAAGCAGTAGGAAGCCCTGAGTTCAAATCCAGCCTCAGACACTTAATAGTTGTGTGACCCAATGTAAGTTACCTTGTTTGCCTTAGTTTCCTCAACTATAAAGGGTGATAATGACAGCGCCTACCTCCCAAGGTGGTTATGAGAGTCGAATGAAATACTATTTGTGAAGTGTTTAGCACAGCACTTTGCACACAGTAGGTGTTATATAAAGGCGTATTGTCCCCTTTTGAAATGTTTAGAGCCCCAGCAATCATTTCATCTAATCCCTTCATTTTATTGTTTTTGTTTTTTTAGGCAATTGGGGTTAAGTGACTTGCCCAGGGTCACACAGCTAGTAAGTTTGAAGTGTTTGGTCTAAGGCCACATCTGAACTCAGGACCTCCTGACTTCAAAGCCAGTGCTCTATACACTGCTCCACCTAGCTGCCCCATAATCCCTTCATTTCATAGGTAAGGGAGCGGATTTGTCGACCACTGGAAACCTTGCAAGTGACAGCATGGTATAGTAGTTGGAGTATTAGATTTGAGCATCTGGAAGACTTTGTTTCAAATCCTGCCTCAGACACTACAGTATGGGGCAAGCTCACATAACCCGAGTCAGTTTTCTTACCTGTATGAGAGTAGCACCTGCCTCAGGACTGTTGTGTCTCAACTGAGATAATATACCCAAAGCATTTTGCAAACCTTACAGCTTTAGATAAGTGGGAGGTTATTATTACTAGGAGACTAGAAGAGTGGATCATTTTGCCAAGAGAATGAACGGGGCTGGGAGAGGGATCTTGTAGAGCCATGACCCAATACTACCTGGACAACTGACATCCTGACTTTGGCAAGCAAGATGGAGAGATGCCCATGCTGGAAGGTAAGTTATTTATTGTTTCATAAAATCCAGTAGATTCCTGGACACTCAACATCAAGTCACGTTTGCAGGAAATCATTTTAAGTTAATGCCGGATCAAGGAACTCCTAATGCTCAATTGGCTAGATCAGCCTGATAATTTAGCAAGAACTGACAGAAAAAGTATACAAAAAAAACCAACCCCAAAACCCAGATTGCCAGGCTTAGGAGATTTAGTGGTGTAATAGACCAACCTTGGAGATCAATACCTTGTATTACAGATGAAAAAAACAGATACACCCGGAAGTGACTTGCCCAAGGCCAAACAGCCAGGTGTGTGTGAACCTAGGCCTTGGCTCCAAATTCAGTGTTCAGGAAGTTCAGGCTCAAGTTGATGGGCATGTTATAGGATCACAGATTTAGAGCTGGAAGGGCCCTGAAGGATCAACGAATCCAACCCTCTCATTTTATTTTATTTAATTTATTTTTTACTTTTTTTAGGCAATTGGAGTTAAGTGACTTGCCCAGAGTCACACAGCTAGTAAGTGGCAAGTCAACCCTCTCATTTTAAACGAAGGGTCAAAGGTGCACAGAAATCCAAGGTCCGACAGGTAGCAAGTGAGCAAAGGTGGGCTATGAATGCAGGTCCAGAGATTTCAAATCTAGCATTCATTCTCCTGGACCACAGTATCTTCATCTAACCCACTCTGAGCCCATTTCTTCATATGAAAAATGGGGATCACAGTACTCTTATTACAGTCTACCTCACAAGGCTGCAAAACTCAAAACACATATGAAATGTGAGGCTCCCAATCCCTGGTACCACTCTTTATCCCAAAGAAACTTGCTACAATTTGCCACAAAACAATTTTTAAATGTCAGGCTATCCATTCCCCCTTAAATAGGTTATCATGAAGTAGTAAATACAACAGTTGGGAGGTTGATGGCTTATTTTCACGGATCAGTATGAAATCCTAATGTTTCCAAAGAAACAGGGTAGAAGGCAACCGAAGCGCCCTCTGCTGGCAGAAAGGGCATGAACATCAGCATCTAGACTGGCAAGAGGGGTTGGGGGGAACAACTTTTGAGAGTTCCTCCCTGAATCGTAAGGCAGGAAGACTGCATAAAGGGTTATAGTCTGGGACAGGACTAAACTTAAAAGCCCACTAGAGAGAGAGAGGTAAAGGAATGAGGAGCTCCTCTTAGCTCAAGCCAACTGTGCTGTTTCAATGGTCCCTTAGGTCCTCATGGCTGCTCTATTACTATATAAGGATAAAAGAACAGAACCACGACTTAGGCTATTACTTGGAAATAAAGGGACTTTCCCAATGTCCAGCGCCATAGTTGCCCCTCTTCACTCATTTCTGAGCCAGACAAGGGTCTTAGAGAGGCACCAGAACATTTCCCTGGTTTTGTTTCTGGCTCAGTCTGCACTCAGTCTTACAGGTGGGTGTCCCTTAAGGAAAGGCACCCCAGATGTTAGGGCCACACATTCTCTATCTGACCCAAATAAAGGATGTCATGGGTGTCTCCTCATTCGCTGATGATGTCCATGAAGCTGGTACTTGCTTCCAAGTTAATCCACTGACATTTATTAAGCTTCTGCTACGTGCTAGGCACTAGGCAAATGCTGAGGATCCAAACATGGAGGGTATTCCCTGCCCTCAAGGAGCTTACAATCCCAGTGTGGCCAAGCTGGTGACACTTGACCTAGGAAGGGAGGAGATGGCGCCGAGTGAAATGAGCACAGCCAGAGGGCATACGCAACAATGGATTCACCCAGAAAAGACTGCTGAGAGCCAGCAGCTGATGGGATCTGCCATAAACACAACCCAAATGTGGGAAATACTGATAAACTAAACCAAAAATGATCATACTGGATCTGCAAAGTAAGAGGGATACTAACAGAATGGGATTACAGCTAAAGAAATTAAGGAGTTCTGTAATTTCCTATAATTTTCTCCCAACAGCCAAATTGTTCATTCAAGGCCCAGCTCAAACCCCACTCAATCTATGAAGCCTTCCTCACCCAATTTATTGGGCTCCCTTATTACTCACTGGCCAGTTGCCATATGCTTCCTTGTATTGTTACAGGTCCCACCTTTGCAACTAAATCTTATCACACCTCCAAGGCAAGTAAAGCTCAACGCAGTTTCCTGAGCAATAGTAAACAATAAACATTTGTTTATGCTGAAAATTCAGAAGACAGTACTCATACTAGTCTAAAAAGGGATCCTTGATAGTCTAAAGAACTCACTGTAATTTTTTAAAAATTTGTTTTTCAGTCATGTCAGAATCTTTTTGACCCCTTTTGGGGTTTTCTTGGCAACGATACTGGAGTAGTTTGCCATTTCCTCCTCTAGCTCATTTTACAAATGAGGAAACTGAGACCAACAGGGTTAAATGCCTCACCCAGGGTCACATAGCAAGTATCTGAGGCTAGATTTGAACTCAGGAAGATGAGACTTCCTGACTTCCTTTAGCCTCCTGAGATGAGGCTAAAACAGGTCTGGAAGAACAAGTGATTTCTGCAAAACAAGATAGTAGTACAGATTATGGAGAGAACACAGGTCTCTTAACTCCATTACACTCTCTTAACCCTCTCTGTTTAGATCTTAGGAATGGGAATAATGGGAAGAATACAAGACTCAGAAGATCTGAGTTCAAATCCCAGTGCTACTTTCTGGCAATGTGACTTCAGACAGGTCCCTTGCCTTCTCTTCAGGGCACAGCGGAAAAACAGGCACTGGCTTTGGAAAACCAGAGGCCCCAGCTCAAAAATCACCTCTCATTTTTACTACTTGAGTAACTCTGGACATGTCATTAACTTTATTCCTGAGCCTCAGTTTCCTAATCTGTAAAACAAGGAAGCTGGCCACAGAGTTCCCTTCCAACTCTAGATGTATGGTCCATAAGACTGAAGCCCTCCCTATCTGTACTGCAGCCCAGGATTGTGATGAGGAAGGCACTTTGTATGGTGGTGTGTAGATGGGAGGGAGTCTTTTTGCCAACCAGTAGCACCCAAATAGGCAGGACAGCTTTTAGAATGCTGATGCAATGTTCTCTTTAGCTCCCAGCTCGGCTGAAGGCTCACCAGAGAACCAGCAGTCTGGTGCTGGACACAGCCATATAGGCCACAAGCCACTCATTTTACAGATGATGAAGCAAGGCCCAGGGAGGTGACTTGCTCAGGTCACACAGTAAGCTGCCGAGCTAGGACTGGAATCCATATCTTCAGATTGTAAATCTAGTGCCCTTTCTTCAACACTGTGCTTCAGGGAAGTTGGTTTTTTTGGATTGCTGTCACATAACCAGGGGAGTTCTTCCTTGTCAGTAGGTGATTAGATGGACTTAAACACCCACAAGTGCACAAAGGATCAATTTAAACAGAGTAATAAAACTGCTATCTTGTATTTGCATAAAGCACCTTCCTTCCAAAGGTTTGGTTTTTGTTTTTTCGTTTGAAACAATCATCCTGGGAAATGGAGACTTTTTTTAGAAAATGGCAAATAGGTAGATGGAAGGTTTAAATATTATTCTGAAACTCACACAGTAGACTGAGGCCTAGGACCTTACCCTTCCAATTCTTAGTGATATAGGGCACTCTCCATTGGACCACATCCACTATGTAGATTTGGAGGGGGCAGCATGGATTTTTCTGAAGTGACTTAAGTATCATGGATCTCTACCAGCTGCACGACATACTGTCCACTTGGCAAGCCACAATCCCTGCACCCCAACCACTGCCAAGGTGAACTTTTGAAGGTTTCAGTCTTTCGGGCAGTTTCAGCCAGAGCTGGCTGTTGCCAGGGCATAAATATTTTTCCAAGGCTAGGATGGAGATACCTTGTTTATTCCCAAAGTCTGGTCCTTGCTGTGCACAAGGCCACCCACAACCCAATTCCTAGCAAATTCAGATCCCAAGGCTGAGGGTGGGGAGGGTGAGGAATGACCAATTCCATCTGGCTGCCAGGTATTACGATGGTTCCTTTTCCCTAATTCTCTGGTGGGGACAACAAAGGAAAAAAACAGCATCTCACTAGATTTTCCCCTTGATGGAAGCCTTGGAGCCGGGGTGTCAGCAGCTACCCAATTGAGTAGGATTACTGCCCATTAATGTTAAAGCTTTGGGGGCTAAGGAGTCCGACAAAATGCCTTTTATTCCCTCTACTGCCTTTGTACCTCATGACGGGCACAGGACAAATGCTGTTAACTAGTTTGCAGAAGAAAAGGAACATTTCGATTCCTCTAATTCAACTGAGCACTTCTTGCCCCCACCTCCACCTGTGCCCTTGGAGTTCAAGGAAGCCTAGGGACCTCAGCCTAGAAAAGCAAACCCCAGTGGAAAAAAAGACTAGGAATGCCCCCAATGGCTACAACATTGGTTTTAATAGCAGTAACATCCGGAAATTCACAATCAGGTCTTGTTGGCAACTGCATGGCCCACTTCCTTGACACTTCCGTTTCAAGCCTGCTTTCTCCCCATTCTCAATAACTCTGCAGAAACAGTCACTCCCACCCCCACCCCCAACAAAAAACAATTGCACTGATTGATGTACAGATACATAGATGTTCTCCCTCCCACTCTCCCCCCACCCCCCTCCCTGTTTCACACATTCATGGGTTCTGTTCATACAGAAGAGTTTTAATAAAGGCTTTGGAGTCCGCTTCCTGACAGTCCAGGGCTTGCCCCAGGGAATACCGTTTTAGAAAACGTTACAAAGATTCCTTTACAAAGGTGGTGCCTGTAGTATGGTTTTGTTTTGTTTTGTGAATCTAAAAGGTTCTGGTTCACTAATGGCTTCTGTCTCATAGCTACAGGATGTGGAACATGTATATATTTTTTTTCAGGTTGATTTGTTTTTAAGGAATGTGTAAGGCATTTTGGTAAAGTTGAATAAGGAACTTTTAATCCCAGGAGGTGTTTCAGACAGAGGTCCCTTCCTTTGCACTACCAGCATCCTCCTGTGGAAGAAGAAGAGGGTGGAGCATTAGACAAGCTGCTGCTAAATCAATCCTCCAAATGGCCATTCTATAGGTAGGAAGCCATTCCCTAAGTGACTGCAAGAAGCCCTGTGTGGCAGCAGGCTCTGGCTGTATAACTAACTCCAGCAGCTGAACCATTCACCCATGCCTTGGCAGTCCCCCGGCTTCCGTGACACAACTACCCCAAGATACTGGCCCTTAGGTAAGCCAAAAATAGCATGATCCCACTTTTTAGACACCTTATTCCCTGATAGATATGATCTATCCCCAAACCTTGGTTCTCCAGGGGGAAAGATCCCAGATTGCCCAAACAAGCTAATCAAAAGGGAGGGGGATAAAAGCTTTTAGTATCCAGTAATGACTAAAGAGAAAAACTTATCTCCCAGGGTTATTGTGAGGTTCAAATGAGGTAATAATTATAAAGCATTTAGTTCAGGGCCTGGCACATGGTAAGTGCTATTGAACTGACTGATTAGCTATCATCACTATTATTAGTTTTGTGACCCTGAACAAGTCATTTAATTCCTATCTGCCTCAGTTTCCTCAACTGTAAAACATGCATAATAACAGCATCTACCTCCCAGGGTTGTTGTAAGTCTCAGATGAGATAATATTTGAAGCACCTGGTACAGAGAAGGCATTTAATAAATGCTTATTCTAGTTCCCCCCTCCTCCCCAGCCAAAGGAAAAGAAACAGCAAATTCCCATACCATTTTCTCAAGCTTCTCGTGCAACTTCTTTACCATTTCTTTCTCCTTGGTTAACTGCTCCTGGCTTATCTTCAAAAGCCCTTGGAGCTTGGTAGCAGCTTGACCCAAGCCCTTTGTTAACTTCTTTTCTTTTTCCAGCCTTTCCTGTAGGTCACCAATTCAAGGAGTTACTCAGAGCCAGTCACATCTCTCTAGTTGAAGTACCTCCGAGGGTTTCATCGTGGCACAGGAGAGCACAGTCTTGTACCAAATTCTCAGGAAAGACAGTATACACTATTCTGTACCAAGGAGTCTTAAGCCTGGGGGGTGTGGGAGCAGGTACAACCACCCCAACCCCAGATCACCGGCCCAGAATGGCCTAACCAGAAAGAAAATAAACACTCATCCCAACAGACAGATAAGAAAAGTTACTTCTAATTAGAAAGATGCCAGTGAGGTGATGTCAGATTTTATTAAATATCCTATGTAACCTAGCAAATTAAGAATTGGCCTCAGAATCAAAAAGATGGGTTCAGTTCCTGCTTCTGACACATACTGGCCATGTGACCATGACACCTCCACCCTACGCTAAGTGCGCTAGGTAGCCCTCTACCCTCTAACAGGGTTTCTTGTATGGATCCTTTTGGCAGCCTGGTGAAGCCTATGGACCCCTTCTCAAAATGATGTAATAAATGTTTCTGTGTCATAGGCCTGTGGACCCCTTTTCAGAAACATGTTCTAAATGCACAAAATAAAAATCATAGGATTACAAAGGAAATCAATTACATTAAAATGCAATTTTGAAAATATTTTTTAAAAAGTTAAAAAATACTTAGGAATACAAAGAAAGTCAATTATACTGAAATAGTTATCAAATAAATTTTTTTTTTAAGTTCACAGATCCCACATTCATAAGCCCTGCTCTAAGACTATACATTGCAGAGAAGGTGCCAGCCTGCACGACTACTGTAATGAAATCCCAAGTCCAGTCCTTATCCCCATTGCTGTTCTAAAGCATTAACTTATGATAGAAACAAAAGTATGGACACCAATATATAAACCTCAGTGTTCTCATAACTTGTACCTTTTGAGAAAGCCAGAAGTTTAGGGGAAATAGTTAAGGGAAAAAGATAAAAACTGGTTCCCCTGACTCTCCCTGCTCCCCTGCAGAGGTATTTGGGTACTAAAATGGTAAGTGAATGACTGGGAGATGTTAAGGACAAATACAAAAAATGTCACAGCAGAGAACTATAGGAAAGTCAATGGGGTCAATGAACTCTCCATCCCTCTCTCTTCCCCTTAAGTGTCTCTACCTACTAACAACCCTATCCAGACCATACCTGGGCATCGTCCCCCACCCTCTGGCAGAGTCAGGTTGAAGAATGAGTTAAGACATTTACCTTCAGCTGAATAACTTCCTCCGTTTCTGAAGACTCCGTGCTGGTGGATGCTCGAAGCTTCTCCAATTCTGTTTGCAAATTACACACCAAATTCTGGGCCTTGTTTAGAGAGTTTCAGGGAATCAAGAAGAAATATGGGGGCTAGGTTAGATATTCCATCTAGAACATCCAAACAGTCAAAATTAGAGATATCCAGGTGAGGAAATGGAAAAGGTCCAAAGAGGGATCTAAAAGCATACGTATCAAATTCTGATGCCAACCATCAGTCATTATCTAGTAATTATGATAAAAATGCAAATTCAGATTTATGGAACACTGACAAAGGGCTTTCTCTGCAACAACCCAGGCAGACACTGGAAATATTCTTATCCTTATTTTATAGATGAGGGAATGACAGTAAACTGAGATTAAGAGATTGGCAGTTAAGGTCACCACTGCCCCATAAATGGCACAGCTAGGACTCCAAATCCAGCCATACTGCCTCAAAGCCCATCAATGAGTATTTACCAAGTTCCTATCGAAAGGTATTTCAGTTTCAGATTTGAAAAGGAGAATGTCTGTGCAGCACTAAATTAAGCTGTGTGCATAATTGCCCTCCCTCACCTGCAATATTCATCTAGTCAGTCAACAAGCACTTATTAAGAAAAGAAGCATACACTGTGATAGAGGAGGAAATGTGTAAATATCGAGGTACATACTAGATATGCACAGAATATATGAAGGCAGTCTGAAAGAGGAAGGCACAAGCAGCTGGCAGGGACCAGGAAAGACCTCCTAGAGAGGGTAGGACCTGAGCTGAGTCTTAAAAGGAGCCAGGGAGACTCAGAGGCCCTGGAAGTCACACAAACATCCTTCCTTTCCCAGACTGTTGGGTTTCTTTTACTGGGGTTCTGCAGGCACTGGATCCAGGCAGATTCTATTCCTTCAGCCTAGCATTTAAAGTAATGATTAGGGGTGGGAATGGCCAAAAGGCTTAAAGGAGAGGGCAGACAAACAAGAGGAAGAAAGGGCTACTGCAAATTTCATGGGACAGCAGCTTGTTAGGCTGTTACTGTTTGAAATTCACATGCAAGCCAGCCTCCACTCAACTCCGGCTCTGCTGTGCCTTCCTGGCATAGATACGCTCCTGTGTTCTCAAAGGCTGGTTCTATTAAAGCCAGGAGGGTTTCCATTCTAGTATGGTGACAGATTGCATGCCTGTTGCCCTAGAATCAGCCTTGGCAACTTTTGGAAGGGCTTATTACAAAAAGGTAAGGCATCAGGTGAGGGCTTTTTTGGCCACAGCAATCCATGAAACCACGTACATCTAGGGTTAACTTTTTTGGTGTTATGGATCCCTCTGGTCATCTGGTGAAACCTGTGGGAACCCTTCTCAGAATAAGGTTTTAAATGCACAAAACAAAATATATAGGCTTACAAAGGAAAAACAATTATACTAAAATGTAATTTTCAAAATATTTTTAAAAATAAAGTTCATAGACCCCAGGGTTCAGAACTCCTGAGCTAGTCAGAGGTAATCTATCAGTAGGGGAAGTAGGCCCACTCATGACATCCCAGCTCTCTCCAGTACTTATAAGCCTGCATCACTGAATCATCTGAGCTTGGCTGCCAAGTTCAAAGGTTAAGCAGCACAAGCACTGCCATCTGTCAGGACAGGCACTGATTCATCAGCTCAAACTAGTGCACCTCAAGAGGTCATCAAGAACTCTACCTTGCCATGCTGATATTTCTGCCTTGCCTCCCTCCATACCTTACCCTCAGCAGGTTCCGATCCGACCACCATGATATTTCTATCTTGTTCCACCAACCTCATCCACCTTAAGCTGTCAAGTGGATCAAAATGCTCACCTAATGTTATGAAATTTCACCCAATCCTTCCTATTCTTATCAGGGTGAAGCGTGTTCTATCAAGGGTGGGAAAGACGGTAGTGTGAAGGACAGTACAGGATCAGACAGGAAGGGGGGACAGAAGGGAGATGGGGACAGGATTATGACATCTGAAGACTAAGCCAATTTCTTACTGCTCATCCACCCAATCCCTTTTAGGCCCACATGGCCCAGGTTAAAGAACTTACCTCCTCAAACTCAGCTGTCAGCTTCTGCAGCTGGATCTGTTCCTTCTCTAGGAGGGTTTCCGTCTGCTCCAGCTGTGTTTTCAGCTACATGGAAACATACACGCACACAAACACACATGCAATTGGAATCTGTCAGAAGACAATGAAATCTACTACGATCCGAGCTCTCTAGGTCCTGCCCTCCACTTAGGCTTAACCTTTCCTCGCCTCGATGTGGGATGGATTGTTTAACTTCAGGTCAGTATTTCATAGGCTTCCCATACCTCTCTGGGGAACAACAGACCTAAGTCAGGCAACTGGGTAATTCCCCCTTCACCAGTCTGAGGAAGACATTTACCATCAGTCATGGCTAAACTCAAGTGCTGGGGGCATAGAAGCGGTGAGGAATGGGAAGGGAGGAGGAAGTCCAGAAGCACAACAGTGGGCATGCTCCAACAGGGCAGAGAAACACTTTGGGGGAAGGTAAGAGGTGATCACACCTTTGTTAACCGTAAGCATCTTTTAATCTGTATGATTAAAGCTGAGGAGCATCAGGCAGAAAGCCATCAGTTTAATTTATGTCTCTCTTGGTACCTAGGTCAACTTTAGGTGAAGGCTGGCCAAGGACAAGTGGGCTAGGGGGAGTTTTTTTTCTTTTTTCAATCTATTAGACCGCAAGCTCATTAAAGGCAGGGGATGTCTTTTGTATCCTTAGCACTTAGCACAGTGTCTGAAATGTAGTAGGCACTTAATAAATAAAAGTTTATTAATTGTTTGTTTGCCCCAGGTTAGGCTCCTCTGACATAGATTTACTTAGCAGGGACTTCAGAGCTAAAGGGTTAGAAACACCATTTCCCCTCCTATTTATAAATTATATGACAAGATCTCAAACAGAGACAGAGAGAGATGGAGAGACAAAGAGAGAAGAAGAGCAACTCCCTACCACTGCCCACCACCACTTTTATTTAGTGATATCCTTGGAACAAAAGCCCCTTAGCCCTATTTCAATCGTTTTATACCCTCATTAACTCTAATATATAACAACAGATCATTTATATAGTACTTTTCAAAGTACTGGTCTCAAAACTACCCTGTGAATCAGGAAGCCCAAGTACTATTACATTCATTTTATAGGGAAGGATACTGAAAGTCAGGTGGCTCATGGCCAAGTCAGAATTCAAACCTAATTGTAGTAGGTGACCCTTCACAAAGACTAAGCTTCTATTCATCTCCATGTGAGGCGCCCCCTACCTCCAACCCCAAACAAGTGTTTCATGATTCTTGACAACACCCACTGAGACCTACTCACTGAGACTGTCTTCCTCTTCTTTACCTCATTTCCCAATCATCCCAGAGAACTCAACACTAAACAAACCATACCAACTCTTTGATATATATGGGTGAAAATGAGAAGTGAGTAAATAACCCGGAAAAGCTTCAAGAGTCTGGGAGCTCCCGCTTCCTCCCCCTTGACCTCATCCAACCCATGTAAAAGCATATGCAGAAAAACAGTATGACACACAGCTAAGACACAACACATCGAGCTCATGCAGTTATCACTAGCAAATGGAGCCATGGCACAGTCGGGAGCCAGGAAGAAAGGGGAGAAGAGGGTGAGAAGTGGGTGAGAAGATAGAAGATGGGCATGGCAAGGTTAGGGATGGGTGGCTAGGGGATCAGTCTCACCGCCCTAACCTCGACAGGTTCCTGCTCAGTTAGGTCAGCCTGCGACCCAACAACTTCACCATCCTGTACATGGCTCTTCATTTCACTCAACTGCTGCCTGACCTGAAATAGGGATGGGCGAGTTTTGCTCAAGTATACCCCTCACATGTACACATGCTCATACACACAGTTACTATAGGTTGGTTAAGCATGGCAGAGACCTAAAGTAAGAGTTCTTAAAAATAAATGAATGACTAAATGAGTGAATGCATAAATAAATGAAAGAATGAACAATAAATAAATGCATAAATAAATGAGAGCACCATCATCTGGGATAATCCAAGGTATAAAACCACTTAACTGGGTGGGGGTTGGGACTGGGGAAACAACTGCTCTTTATCCTCCCTAAGATGACTATGCTCACTGAAAGTGGCGAAGCATAGAAATTCAAGGTTAACTGATATGATATTTTAAAACATGCTGATACAGAAGAATGACCGATTTCTTCCTAAAAGTAAAACCAACAACCCTTTCCAACATATGAACAAATGAAAGCACATGCTCTGTGGTGCATAAGACACCCCCGCCATGAGCACAGAATAGGGAGCCCCTTCCAAAAATATATGAATGTTGTAGACCCAAGATAATTTTCCTGGGTGCTTGTAGAGCACCCATACATACATATATACTTTGAGGCTCTCCTGGTTCTGGATGGTGGTTAGGAAGGACTTGGTTTTATCACACTGTTGGGGACCCCATGGACATTTTGACTATTCACAGACTGACTCCAAGGCCCAAGAACAGTGTCAAGTTTGGTCTCCCCAGAACCTATTCAGCATAATTCACCCAATGGAAAGACCCTGGAATCCTTTCCTCAAAAGAGGAGTACATTTTTACATTTCAAATTTACCATGAACTCTCCCCTCCAAAATTTGACATAAAGACCATAACTCAAATCCCTGACAACTTGGATTAAATGAAGAGCCTTCAAAATGGAAGAGATATGATCAAAAGATCATTATCATTACCAAACTCAAACACTGCCTAGAAAACCTCTTGGTAAAAACTTAAACTGGGGTTCAGATCATAAATGAATATGGATTCCACTCAACCTAAATTTCAGTGTTGCATATAAAACTCAAGGCCACTGACTCTGCTTTATTTATTTACTGTTTTTAAAAAGGATTACGGTGAAATTTATAAAAAGTGTGACTTAGAATCACAACATTTTCAAACTGGAGGAGATCTCAGGGATAAAGTTCAGTCCTCCCATTTTACAGATGATGAAATAGAGGCCTTGGTGCCCTAGAGTGGGAATGAGTGGCAATGTCTCTCCTAACTCCCGATCTGGTGTTCTTTCCACTACCCCAAAAGGGGCATCCAATGAAATCTTGATGTCATTGCTCTGTTTAAGTCAAAATCTTTAAACAAATTAAACCCTACTAGTTCCATCACGGGATAGCGAAGCCCAGTCAGTCAAACTCTAGAGTTGGACCTAGGGTAGAGAAAGGCATTCACCACTTCAGTCCCAAGGGGATGCCTGAAACACAGTTTTCCATGAATCCATATGGTTTCAGAGCACTGGTGTTTCCTTATAGGAGAATGTGAGAAACCCAAGTTCATTTAAGAGTAGGGTAAATGATTGTGGACAAGAGAGAGGCAGAAGAGTAAAAACCCTCAAATTAAAATTCTTTCATACTACCACTGGAAAAAATTGCATCTATGCATTAAAGCTCAGTTCTGGTCTTTCAAATGAATCAAGTGGGATTTTAAAAAAGTTAGCATTTTAAAATATAAACTCAACATGCATTCACACAACACACTTCTTTTACACACTTTCTCTCTCCATATATTACAAACAAAGCTTAGTTACCAGTGCCAGTTCCTTGCTCTGCTTCTGTGCTTCACTGTTAGCTGCATCCATCTGCTCTCGGGCTTCTGTTAAAAGGTCCCTCAACTTTGTTTATAAGACAAGGAAGAGGAAGGGTTAGTAGGGGCAGAGGAGAGAGAAAACAAAACAGCTGAGTATGAGTCAACAGGCACAATACTGAAACACCAAACAGAAAAATAAGATGTTAGTAGGGACAACTACTATGAAATGAGTTTACTAGATTCTTTGAATCTAAGGTTTCACTTTAAAGAGATGGAAGGGAAACTATAGTGCTTCCCAAGTCTTTGGGGGAAAGATTATGAGGCAGCTCACATACACAACTAGAGTTTAAGATTACAGCCCAATCAGAAATTCCAAGTTTTCCCTTTCTGCCTTGTAGTTAAGAAAAAAACCTCAGCATTAAATCAGTCAGCAATCAGCACATTCTGGGGTCTCTCCCTCCTTCCCAAAGGCAGTCAGTCATCCAGTGGGACGTGAAGTGTCCCATGGGACAGCCAATGGCTTGGACCTAAGGCAGCAGTTCCAGCACTGCAGAGTGGACAATCTGAGTTGGTGCCTCTCATCCCCCAAACAGAATCATTCTGATTCTCTCCTAGTACCCAGGAAGCAGAGACCTTCAACTCAGGGAAGTTCCAAGCAAAGGGACTGTGCTGGATTTTGACAAATACAGAGATAACCAATTATTTCCTCATTGTCCCAGATGGCCAAGCTGTCCTTGAAGAGAAAGTCAGCCTAGTCAATAGTGATGAAAACTTAGCTGGGACCTTGAACTGGCAGTGCGAACTTGGGAACAAAGGCCTCCCTTCTAGCACCATGCTAACACTTGTGCAAGAAGGACTGGGGAGAGAGGGCTCAGTATAGAGCCAGAGCCTCCTGAGGGCACCACCTACTTACCGATTCAACCTCTTTTGCGTACTTTTGACATTCTGCATTGGATGTTAACATGTGATCTTCTAGCCGTGCCTCCAAGAAGTCGCATATTCTTTGACCTTGACACAAATACACATCATCACACAAGTGAGCAACAGCCCAGGACGTCATGGTGGCATTAAATAACATGAGAATTAGTTGAATGGGATTTGTTGAACTTTTGGATAACCAAGAAGAATTCCATAGACTGTCTTGGCATTACTGGACTTAGGGGAAAAAAAATCCAAAAAATAAATACTCGCTTTTGGTTTGGGAGAAATTAGGCCAGGTGCAAAAGAAAATATCCCCTACCAGCACCCTAATTTGTTAGTTTCTTGAAGCTCTCCTCAGTTATTCGGTTCAATTCAACAAATTCAGAAAACATATAAACGCCTTCAACTGCACTGCTAATTGCTGGGGTATAAAATTGGCTACAACACAGGCCCTGCTTTCAAGGAGTTTATAATCTAAAAAAAAGAGTATGAAGGTACCCACATAACTACTATACAAAGGAGGGTAAGATAAGTACAAAGGAGAGATTCAAGAGTAGTGCTAGAGAAATGTGAGAAATAATTTATACCTAGGGCAGTAGGTGAGGGTGTTAAGGCTGAGGTGATATCTGAGCAGGCCCTTCCAAGAAGCCAGGGACTTCAGGAACCAGAAATGGGCTGGGAGCAGGTGGAAAGGAGGAGTCTAGTTCAGGATTTGGGGACAGCATGAACAAAAGCACAGGGACAGGAAAGGGCAGGATGAGTATGGGCTGAGAAACAGAATATGTGAAGATGAGTCATATGAGATAAGACTGGATGAACAGTGAGCCTAATCACGAAGGCCCTAGAATACTGCACTGAGGGCAATTTGGCTAGTCCACAGAATGCACAAAGGGGAAGCCTATGCAATAAAGTTGGACAGGCTGGGGCCAGCTGGTGACAGGTTTTCAATGCCAGACAGAGGTGTTTATTAGTTGAGGCCAGAGTTCACAAGGAGTCACCAGAATTTCACAGGAGCATAATATGGTCACATTTTAGTGTAGAGGGGGTAGCGTAGACTGGGGTAGGGAGAGACCAATTAGAAGGCCATTCCAATAGTTCAGGTGAGAGATGATGAGGGCTTGACCTAGAGCAGTGGCAGTGTGAGTGGTGGGGGGAGGTGTTTGGGTAGAAGAGTCAGAGTAGCCTACTAGGGAAATTACCTGGGCAGCAATAGGGAAGATAGATTGGAGAGAATATAGACCAGAAGCAGAAAGCCAGGTGAGAGGCTATAACAGTTTGGTGAGAAGACATGAAGGCCTGAGTGAAAGTGGAGAGGAAGGGCCAGATAAGAGAGGGAACTTGAGAACTGATTAAATTCATGAATCTGAGAGACAAAGCTATGCCATGCACAGAAATGGAGGGAGAAACTGGGAGGAGGAACAGGTACAGCAGGGAAGATGATTTCAGTTTTAGATAGGTGATACTGGAGGTACTGGTGAGGCATTCAGAGGGATGGTCAGCAGGCTGCTGATAACATGGACCTGGACTTCTGGGGAGGTATTAGAAGCACAGATACAGATTTGGAGGTTACCTGCACAGAGGTGACAACTGAAGCCATGGGAGTAGATAAGATCACCAAGGAAGAGTATAGAGAGAAAAGAAGAGAGTGTCTTAGGCAGAACCTGAGCAGAAGAAATGAACCAGTAGAAAAGACAAAGAAGGCGCTATTAGTGAGGGAGGATGAGAGCCGTGGGAGAAGGGTCATGGAAGGTGAAGGAGGAAAGAGGTAGTCTACCATGTCACATGCTGCAGAAAAGTAAAGAGAAATAAAGACAAAAAATACAAACATGGTTGACATGACAACATGGTTGTTAGAGACCCTGGGGAAAGTTATTTCAGTACAGTGATGTGTAGAAAATTCAGATTTATAAGGGCTGTGTCAGCACCCTTCTGACACCGAAAAACACAGGAAAGATGGCAAAATTTATGGGTCGATTAAAGAAAATCTAACTATCACCAAAACAGTTAAAATCAAAACCAGAAATGGTTGGTGGGCAGACAGTTGCTTTTATAACCAGTCTATAAAGATGGCTGACATCCTGCAACCAACCCAGAAGCCCACTTTTCTTAGGCTTTCGATGTGAAGATCCGAGACCTGTTAAGCTTAGACATTCTTCTTCACCAAAGCAAAGAAACGTCTTACCTGAGCTGTATTCTGTAGGTCTCCTTTTAACTTCTCAATGGTTTCTTCGAGATGTTTCACTCTGATTTGTGACTATGAAACAAAACCAATACTGTCTCAGGAAGACAGGAATAACCTGAATGTCCCCTCTGGAATATTTAGTCCTCTTACAGTAAACTTAAGGAACCCTCACTCCAAGTTCAACTACCCGATTCTCCCTTGTCCCAATTTGCCTTTCTCTAATTTCCTATCCTAGGTACAGGAAAGAGAAAGGGGGAAGGCAAGACGACAGTAAAGGAGCCAAAGCAACCTTGGCAGCATTTACCTTCTGTAGTTCTTCTTCTGATACTGTGAGCTTGGCTTTCCATACCTGCTCTTCCTCCTCCACGCTCTTCTGAAGATCTTTCAACATGCCTTCCTAAGAGGTTGGTCACACAGGGGATAAGATGTTTTAGTGATTAAAAAAAACAAAACAAAACCATGCAAGAACAATAAACCCACCTAGTCATTCTAATGCCATTAAGGTTGGTCAATAAGCATTTATTAAGTACTTAACTATTTTCGCCAAGCCTTGTGCTAAGCACCAGGAATACAAGGAAAGGTATAAGTATAAAGCCACTGAGAAAACAATAAGATAACTGCCATTTCCCCTTCCTTTTTTTTTTAATTTTCTTTATTTTTAGGGTTATATTTTGAGTTCTGAGTTATCTTTCTCCCTCCCTCCCAACCCCACATTAGACAAGGCTAATAATACACATATATATGTGGAACCATACAATCCATACTTCCACACATCAGTTCCTTCTCTGGAGATGGATAGCATCTACCTTCATGGGTCCTTTGTAGTTGATTTGAATGATCCCATTACTCAGAATAGCTTAGTCATTCACAGTTACATTTTTTTTTGGCTAGGCAATGGGGTTAAGTGACTTGCCCAGGGTCACACAGCTAGTAAGTGCCAAGTGTCTGGTCTGAGACAGGATTTGAACTCGGGTCTTCCTGACTCCAGGGCTTGTGCTCTATCCACTGCACCACCTAGCTGCTCCCATTCACAGTTACTTTTTGAACAATATAGCTATTATTGCCTACAACATTCTCTTGGTTCTCACTTCCCCTTTCTATGGCTTCTCCTTTTTACTTACCTGTTTTTTCCCCACCTCTATCCTCCTCCACTTAATTCACATACCACAGGGCTACAGGAATTATAAGAAATCCCAAAGATATAATCTAAATTCCTTTTTCTGCATGAGGATTTTGGTTTTACCTAATTCTGACTCCTAATTTTTTTTTTTAAAGTAGACCACTCCTTGGTCAGGGCATACATTTTGGTTGAAATATAAAATTTGGTCATTGGATTTGAGCCCTATGATATGATTAGAACCTGGAGAACTGTTGTGATTTCTTATGTCCTCTCAGGGGACAGAACATGGAGACAGGCTGGCAGAAGGGATATCAAATAAAACAGAGGTCACTTTCTTGTCCAGCAGGATGGCTTTTACAGTTTCAAAGGAGAAAAAACTGGGTTGGTAGCATATACTCTCTTTATTTCCCCTCTGAAGACCCCCTCTGCTGCATGCTTAGAGAGCTGGTACCTCAAAGTCTCCCTTCCTCACCCCAACTGTCAATGTTCTGTAAAATCTTCAAGCCTGTCCTTTTGGTGACTTAGACTCGGAAGAGATTTAAAAGGTCATCTAGTTGAACACTCATTTTTTTTTCCTCCAACACTCTCATTTTGAAAAATGAAGCAAAGACCCAGAAGGGATGCACGTGTGACTTGTCATGTCATACAGTTAGAACTAGGATCTCCTATCTTCCCCTTCCACCATGTTGAGTCTCATCAAGGAAATAGGACTTCATGTTTGCCCCTTCAGAAAACCCTGTCAAGTGTTATTCCTGAACCTCCATCTCTTTCCCCCTTCTAGAACTTACGCACCTTCCTGGAGAATCCTCTGTAGAATCACAGATGAGATGTAAATATTTTGTTATTTGAGAAATAATGACATACAGAATTCCCATCTGACTACAGCATACAAGCATAATTCTCCACCAAAGTCCCATTCTGATCCCTCACCATGGTGGGAAGGTGACCTGGTGCTCTGAAAGGCTATGCCCATGGGGTACAAACTTGGGGAGACTTTATCCCAAGTAGGAAAGCTTCAAGGATGGTGACAGGTTATTACGTGTGAGGTCCACAGTGAGGAGAGGCTTATCCTCAGACTGCCCACAGGATGATGAATTTGGGGACCTTAGCAGCTCTCAGAAATCATTTCCTTAAGTTATAGACTACGCACCAGTGGAGAAAGGGCCTACACAGACAAAAAAATCACAGATCCTTGAAATGCTGAAGACAATAAACCTACCGTTTCTGCGAGGATGGTTCGGTACTGGTCACACTCTGACTGTAAAGTGCTTTGGGCTTCCTCAGCTTCCTTTAACTTAGAGGCTAAGTCCTGAAGGAACCCAGGAAGAATTGATTGCCTGTTAGTCACAAACTGCTACTGACTGACTAAAAAAACAAACACTTCCAACCCCCACATTAAAAAAACAAAACAAAAACAAAAAAGGAGCCCATAAGCTCTATTCTGGCAATAAGGATGCCAAGCCCAAAGTTTCCATATCTAGGACCTTCTTACCAAAGATACTCCAGCAGGTGCTTTCTGTTTTACTGCTTCTGTACTCTTCTCTTTGAATTCCTGTAGCCACTCATCATAACTCTGAAATCAACAAGGAAATAAGTGCGGGGATTGCTATCCATCCTGAGCTGGGCAAGAGTATCATCACTAGAGTCAAATCCCCTCCCTTCTCTTTAGGCCATAATAAAAATTAACAGTGGTAACACTGACTTTGATATAGTGCTTTGAAGCTGGCAAATCATTCTGGACACATTATTCCCATGGGAGCCTTATAACCACCTCTGAGGGAAATGCTACAGATATTATTATTACCATTTTATAGATGAGGAAACTAAAGGTCAGAAGTAAAGTCAATGGAAGGATCTGAATCGAGGTCTGCCTAACTCCAGCCCTGCCTCTGTGAACTGCCCTCGAAATGCCTCTGACTTGTACCTGTTGTGTGGTTATTGAGATGTCTGGGAAGAGGGAGAGAAGAGTTTCCTTTGTCTTTGTCTGAGTGCTGCTGACCTGCTTCTCTACTTCTTCCTGAAAGAGAAAGAGCATGGCTGAGTTTAGAGGTGAAAGTAGAAAACAGCTCCTTGCTCAAACTTTGTCCTAGAGAGCACATCCTTAATGCTCGAGGTGAAAAGAACAGCACGAATGGAGAGGACAAGGTTCAGGAAAAACCAGAGGTTCTAAATGCTGCTCCACATGAGCCAGTGTGTGCCTCTAAAATTGTAATTGAAACCAATTTAATCCTGAACAATCATGGAAGGAGCAGTGATGGGTAACTCCAAACACCAGATATTTCAACTCTCTACAATGCCTTTCAATAGCTTTACTCAGGTAATATCAAAATTAGCTTTCACTTCATGAATACACAACACACCAGCTAAAGAGTGAGTAACCAGAGTTGAGGCTCAGTAGTAGGGTAGACATAAGATGGTTTGTTAGCTTGACATTAAAAACAAAAACTTTACACAGATAATTGGCAAACACATAATCAAGGGCCAACTATACATTTTAAACTTCTCAAAAACAGGCCTCAAGAGAGGCCTAGGACCTACTCTGTCCCTGCTCTGCCCCCTGACTTGCCAGGCAATCTTGAGTAAGTCAACTTCTCCAGTCCCATTTCTTTATCTGAAAAATTAGGGGGATGGACTAGATCAGCAGTGTCAAAATCAAATAGAAAGAGGGACCACTATGCTGTACCTATGGATCTCTATAGGCACATACTGACTTAGAAAATCACATTTTAACATTATCTATATTCTATTGCATTTTTAAATTTTTGTTAAATATTTCCCAATTACATTTAAAAATGGTTTGGGCTGCACATGTGGGTGGTTGCAGGCCACCTAACTGATACCTCTGGACCAGCTGATCCTCTAGGTCCCTTCAAGTTCTAACATCCTGAGATTCTAAGGTTTGTAAAGGGTTTAATAAGAATATTTGCAATACACCCACAAGGGATACGATTTAAATGACACATTCAAAGATTTATGCAGCACAGTGTGTACAGACATAATGGTTTGTATATATACTTCTATATATATCCAATAGAAGATACAACTTTTTTGAGAGCAAGAACCGTTTCTCTATCTTCACACGTACCCCCAGAATGCAGCATGGTTCCTAGCACTTAAAACAAGTTTGATGAATGCCTGAGTTGGACTGAAAACTGGCATACATTGAGCCTAAAGCTCAGAAACAGGAGACCCTCTGCGGCAGTTTTATGTATTTTAGTGAGAGTCCTGGACTTATGGCAACACGGTGCAGCACATGTGGGGCTAAGTGGATAAACGAGTCAGGAAGATCGGAGGACAAATCCCAGCTCACACTTATTGGCTGTATGACCTTAGACAAGTCCCTTCATCAATGGCACTCAATTCTTCATCTGTAAAATGAGGGGTATAGATTTGATAACCTCTAAGGTCCCTTCTAGCTCTAAATATAAGATACTAACTACCATTGTTTCACTTTCTGAGGCAAACAAGCTACCTTCTGAACAATCTGCCCAAGAAGACATTTTTCTTGAAAAAATACTTTAACATAAAAATAATAACAATGATAACTAGCATTTATTTATATAGTACTTTAAGATTTGTAAAACATTTTATAAATATTATCTCATTTTATCATCACAACAACCCTGAGAGGTAGGTACTATTATTATCTCCATTTTATAGATGAGGAAACTGAGGCAGACAGCAATTAACTGACTTGCCCAGGGTCAAACAGCTATTAAATATCTGAGGCTGAATTTGAACTCAAGTCTACCTGACTCCTGGTGCTTCCTAGCTGCCTTAACATATTTAGCTACAACTCCACATAGGACCAAAAGATAACAGCCACTAAATTAGGTTTCACTAATGAATGACAAAACTCAACTCTACATGGTTGGAAATGATTTTGGTTTTTATTTCTCCTAAAGCATCACTAGTCATTTGCATCTTATTTTTTAAAAAGCAATTCAAAAAAGCTATGGGAAGGAATCTGCTGGATGTTTGCATAAGCAAAGGAAGTAAATTTAATGGGCTAAACTAACTTGCTAAAAAACATTAGCTGTAACACACCAATGAACCTGAAGCTAACTGGAGGCCCGAGTCAGCTCACACAAACGGGGAATGCATGAGAATTAAGAGTAGAACTCTTTCCTCCTCATTCAAAAGAGAACAGGAGAGCTCAACCTAGTGGGCAGTTTATGTACCAACATCCCGAGAATCCCAGACTCCATCTAGCAGAAGCACCAGGCCCCAGTCCTTGGCAGCCTGTATTTCACGTATTCGGAATGCATTTGGCTCAACCAGTCTTGACATTACTAATGCACACAGAAACTGAACATAAAATACATCTAACCTTTGCTTTGGTTAAAGAACTCAATTTCTCCTCACATCCTTTTTCAGCAGATGCCAAAGCCTCCATTGCTCTCCAGTTTTTCTCTCGGAGGTCCTAGGGGAGGAAACAATGGTCAGGACCAATGCAGTCACCCCACCGTGCTCAGACTATGGGTACATCCCCTACGACATGCAGAAAGTACAACTTCAGATCCTTTGATGAGCTCATGGAGGATAGTAGGTAGGCTACTTTTCCACATCAATGGAATGCGGCATTCAGGAGACTGGCTATCTGATTTCCCATTGTTATGGTCCATCAATTTTTAACTTGTGCTGGAGTCCTTAAACATATGGTTACCATGCCTCAACACATTACCGGGACAGTCCTAGCCTGCTATCAGGCCAGAAAATGTCTTTTTTACAGTCAATACATATTGGGATAAGGAGTAAAAGGATGAGACACTGTAGCTTAAGGATTTTTTCCCTCCCCTTTCAAATAACTATCATGGTTTTCTATCACCTCTCCTTGTAGATGAAGATTTCCACAATATTATGATGACAGATTGTATTATGTTAACAGTTCACAACCTGGGGTTCATATATTTTGTTTTTTAATATTTTGGTAACTGTATTTTGATATAACTGGTTTCCTTCGTAAGCAGATGAATTTTATTTTATGCATTAAAAAAAAATGACTGAAGAGTTTATAGCCTTCACCAGACTGCCAGAGAGTCCGTGACACAAAAAAGGCTGAGAACCCCTGCAATAAATTAATAGCATGAGCCTATCTTTAAATGACACTTGATGAAGAGCAGAGGGAGGAGCGAGAGAGGACAGGGATATAGGGAGGTGATGAGGATGTTTGCTCTGACATAAATAACTGATGACTTGCAGTCTGATAAGCTGCCCTCCAGTTCCAGCTACATTCTACCAGTGAATGGGCATTCGGGGGCACATTCTCTCTGAAGAGACAGACTTAACATACACAAAGCTCCTAGAGATGAATGCTTGGCCTTAAACAGCCCCGTGCCAAAAAGCTCAGTGCAGACAGCCACAATCATGGCTGGTCAACCTTCTTGGAAGCACCAAGACAGCAGAGCTGTGCTGGGGTAAAGAAGCAGTGCCTCTCTCCAGACCACTGCTATCCCACTTGCTCAGATTATTCCAGTAGCCTCCTCCTGGCTCTTCCTACCTCTACTCTTTGTACTACTTCCAGAGCAATCTCATTTATGCATGACCATGGTTCTAGTCATGTCACTCTTCTGATCAAAAATCCTGGTGGCTCGCTACTGACTATCAAGTAAACTCCAATTTTTCTGATTGATACTCAAGCCCTTCTCCACAATCTGGCAACATCCTTCTTTGCCCAACTTATCTTACAGTACTGTTAAGCTCCAGGCAAATTGGACTCTTCTCCCCAGACGTACTCTGTGGTTTCCTGAATATTCTTGCTTTCTATTCTCCCTGCCATGCATAGGTAACCTTCCACATTCTCAATGCCCTGCTCCTTGTGGCCACATCTTCAAACTCTGACCTCCCTTCAAGGGTCAGTTCAAATGCTCTTACAGAAGGTTTTCCTGACTTCCTCAATTATTAGTATCTCCTCACCCTGTGGTAACTTTGTAATTACTTTGAATACCTTTTTCTTTGTGTTTATCAGGAGTTAGGCTCCTCTGGCAGTTCAGTGAAACCTAGAGGCTTTATCCTCCTCCCCCCTTCTTAGAATCATGTTTTTAAATGCACAAAATAAAATAAATCAGTGAATTACAAATAGTGAATTACAATTGCCAAAATATATTTTAAAATGACCTGCAGGTCTAAGAAATAATGGACCTCTGGTTAAGAAATCCTGGCGTTCATGTTTCCTCTAGTAGAAGAAAATTTCTGGAGGGCAGAGACAATTTTGCTTCTGACTCTGTAAGCCCAGAGACCAATAGTGGTTGGGACTTTGTAAGCACTTAATAAACACTTAATGAGTGAACGAAACTGTCAGCAGGAGCTCACCCCACACAATCTGCTGTCTCTGGCCTAAGGGCTTCTTTAATCAGTGCTCACAACACTCTTAAGGAAAAATAAATCCAAGGTTGGAACCTGGGATTATGAAGACATTGATAAGAAACCCCCAGTGATTCTTGCCACTAGGACTAAAGGTAAATGAGATGGAGAAAAAACCCAGAAGGGACCCTAACAACAAGGGCTACTGTTCTTCATCCTCCTCTCCCACATCCAACATCATAAGAGGGAAAGGGAACATGAAAAGAACATTTATGATGGAATCATGAGGTGAGCAGGGTTAGGGAGGCATGAAGTCCTTAGGAGTTAATGCATAAGAAAAGCTAAAATAATTGCCTCGAGCTAAATCTCCTCCCTTAGGGGCTGCTGGTTTGGGGAGGATTGTTTGCTTGTTGGGAGCGTTTTTGAAAGAACAAGGAGCAGATGTATAGAAAACAGGCTCTTCACCTCATGCTGCCTGAGCCCAACCCCTCATGCCCTGTATTTCCCTCTAGAGTAGGCTCTTACATTATTTTTAAGTTTTTGCTGCTCGACAGCTGCCTTTAGCTCCATAGCTTCCTTTTCCAAAGATGTGACCTGGGCCTCATGTTCTTTGAGCCTAAAGGGAATAAAAGGGCATTATTTTCTTGCTTCCAAAACAGTCACTTCCCTGTAGCCCACTCTCCAAACGGGCAGCAATTCAAATGAGAATGGTCTGATGTTCCAACCACATCAAGACACTTTAGAACAGGGTTCCCAACCAGCTTAAATCATTCACAAAGTCCAACCTGGTGCGTAATAATATAAATAATAAAAATGAGACTAGCTAACATCTATAGAGTGCTTTATGGTTTGCAATGTGCTTTGCATATATTATCTCATTTGACTCTTTCAACAACCCTGCTTGGTAGGTTTTATTATTAGCCCCTTTTTACAGAGAAGAGAACAAAGGCTAAGAGAAGTTGTGACTTATACAATTACACAGCTAGTAAGTATCTGAGGGAAGGTTTGAATTCAGGTCTTGACTCCAACAATCTACTACACCACTTGACGTCTCATTTTTCAGGCTGCAACCATGCAGATCTCGAAGCTTCAGAGAAATAAAAGATAGTCCCTCCCAACCCTTTACTTTTCGTCACTACTCCCAACTGAAACCCAATTTCCAACGCCACTCTCATCCTACCTCCAAAATAATCATAAATAACTTGAGTGGTGAGGCATCAGGTGGCCCTGAACATCAGAAGCCTGTCCAGTGAGGCCAGTATTCTCCGCCCCCCCCCCCAGTTGGACACAGAGAGAATCTGAAGAGTTGAAAGGGATCAGAGAGGTCATTTAATGCACCCCTTTCTCCAATGCACCCCTGCCCACTGCAGGAATCATGGAATCACAGATCTCAGAGTGAGAAGGGATCTAAGTGTTTATAGAGTACAAAGTTTACCTGAACAGTATGCTCACTTACAAGATACCCAACAACTGGTCATCCAGCCATTGTTGAAACTCTTCTAGTCAGCAGAGCTACTTCCTGAAGCAGCCCACTCCACACCGGGGAGATAATTGCTAATTATTGCTAATTATTAGGAAGTTGTTCCTGACACAAAGCCTAAATTTACTTCTTTGCAATTTCTACCCACTGGTTCTCATTCTGCTCTCTGAGACTAAGAGAACAAGTCTAATCCCTCTTTTCCATGAGACAGCTTTCCAAACACTTGAACGCAGCTTTCATGTTCTCTATGCCAATCACCCCTCCCCCAAAGACTTCTCCTGGCCAAACATCCCCAGAGCCTTAAAATAGCTCTCATAAATAAGCCTGAACCCAAGACTTTTCATCATCTTGGTCACTCTCGTCTAGATGTCCTCCAACTTATGTTCTTCCTCAAACTGAGTGACTAGAACTGAATACACTCTTCCATTTATGGAGTGATCAGGGCAGGGGTCAGTAGGACTATTCACTTCCCTAGCCAAGTATGCCCCTCTTAAGACTACAATGCCTTTGACTAACAGCTATACAGCTTCTGCTCTACCAGTACCAGGGACAAGAACATGACACACACTAGCTATCAATGCACCTCTTAATAATCAGGGCCAAGAAATGAACACAAAATTCTACATGTGACTAGCCAGCACAGGTATAGAATAGAATTATTACTTTCCTATTCTGAACGGCCTATTTATACTACTATTTAATTCGGCCAAAGATCACATCAGCATTTTCTAAACAACTGTATCACAGAATCTTTGCTGATGATTAATCTGGAGTCAGCTAAAAATCTTCACATCTTTCTACAAATGAAGAATTCCTTAGCTATACTTCCACTATCTCATATTTTCAGAATTGACTTTAAAAACAAAACCAAACCTTAAATACAGGACTTAAACACAAGATTGAACATTTATCTCTGCTAAATCTCATCTTACTGCCTTTCACCTAGTATTTCAGCCTGTCTGAAGCATTTAACATGTTGATTTGACTACATAGTGGGTTGGTTACTTCTCCCATCTTTGTGTTATTTGAAAAGGCACTTTTTCTAGGTCTTTATTCAAGTAACTGATAATGTAATATGCTCGTTTTAACTTGTAGCTAGCTACTTTTGAGACTCTCAAAGATGAGGGTGACTTCACCTAGGCACAACAGACTGATTCACCCCATGGAGACAAAGGTCAATTGACTATTTTGGAATTTTAAGGTTCTAAACCAGAAAAAGTCAATAAGAAAATTCATTAGTTATTCTGTTTATATTTTTAAAAGCAAGAACTTGTTTAGCTGTTGTTCAGACATCTCAGTCATGTCCAACTCTTCATGACCCCATTTGGGGTTTTCTTGGCAAAGATACTAGAGTGGCACATTTTATAGATGAGGAAACTGAGGCAAACAGAGTTAAGTGACTTGCCCAGGATCATACAGCTACTAAGTGTCTGAATTTAGATTTGAACTCAGGAAGATGAGTCTTTCTGACCCCAGGCCTGGTCAGGTCATCTGCACCACCTAGCTGTCACTTGTTTAGCCAACAGGTTACAACTTCATTATAAAGTCGCTTCCAGCTCAGATCTATGATGATCACCTCAGTATGTCGGGGGGAAAAAAAATCTAAAAATGGACATAAGTCCCAATTTCTATTTTTGAAAAGAGGTCTTTGGTAGATTGTCTTCTACAACATCAATCTTAAAAGGTTTAGGATGTAGCCCAAACACCCCCAGTGTCCCTTAAAAATCCATCATGGATATATCATCCCAAACTTAATTCTCCCATGTGCAAGGTTCTTATATTCTGAGATTTGCTGACTATGCCCAAAGATGAACTATCCCTATTGTTATACTTGTGTAGACTTCAATCACATCTGCCCACAGACTTTACTTTCCTCATACTCAGAATTTCCATTAGTCTATTCTCAAATAAAAGCCTCTTGATAACCTGGATTTGAATTTCATAAATCTTACAATATTTCACACTGAGAAACCAAGCTCAGCTCGATACTATAACTCCTGAATTTAGCCTTTAAATAAACAAAGAAGTAACTCTCAAATGCTCACTAGACCAATAATGTATAATACAGTGCCCAGAATTGGCCAATGGTGACATTTTAAACCAAAATAATAGGATAAGACTGAAAACATTACAGGAAAAACATTTATTTTCTAGATAAGCCAAATGCTGATATTGGTCGATATCAATGTTAGCTGCTGAAGGAGGACAGACATTGGAACTGAAAACACAAGCATGTATCTATCCATTTATTGATTAATAAGTTATATTATGTAGTTAATACAATCCTGCATTTACAATAGCCACATCTTCTTTCCTAAAAACAGTAACAGCATGAACTCAAAAGTTGTTTTTCCATAAAAACCTAAGATCAGTCCTATAAAAATATTTTTAATACATCCCACAAATCTACACTAGACTCACCTGTACTTAGCAATACTCCCACACACTCTCTCCTTCCTTATAAGCTCCACATCATTAGATAAAGAGGATACAAAAATCTGCCTGTGACAAATGTACTCAAAAGTTCTTTGGCAAAGACAAAATCCCATAGAAACGAAATCAAAAGGCCAATGGAAAGGAGACATAGATTACTTTTCTGTCTTCTTCCTTGCTTTCTCCAAGGTTCTAAATAAGTAATGATTTGTTAATATCAACAGCAGAATCAGATGAACTCAAAACAAATGCTTCAGGAAAATTATCTTTGAAGATGAAAAAAATAATTATGCCAGCTATATCCGAATGCCCTAAAAATCCTTATCCATTTTCTTTAAAACAACAATTCTTATAGCAACATTCATCATGCCCAAGAATTCCAACTTTAACACAAAACAGTATCCAAAAACCACCCCTCAACTAATCTGCCTAAGTGTCTTGAAATAAGATATACTGGGACATGAAAATGTAAAGAGTTTAGTCCCATGTGTTCCCATGAGAGAGGCACTGACTTCTGGTGGGTTTTTTGGTAAGTTCTCCTCGCTGCCTGGAGAAATTAGCCACATAGTGCTGTGTTTAAAATGGAAGTATAGTGACTCATCTAGCAGTCACGGCCAGAGCAAGAGAACCTTGCTGGACACCACATAGTAGACACATCTGTGTTACAGAGATGGAGAAAATATGTGATGTGCACTATTGACTTATATGGATATGTGAGCTCTCTGCTCTCCCAGCCAAGTCAAACCTCTTGTGAGTGTGCACTGAGAAACCCATGCTTCTAGAGATAATGAGCCCCAAGAACTCTGGGATTACATTAACTTCTGGGGCCCTACTGTGTAGTCATTCCCAGCCCTTAGCAACACCAAACAAACAGTAAATGAACGATGCCTTGTGCAGGACAGGCAGTACTGAAAGAATGCAGCACCATGGGTCTGATGATACCAAAAAAACAAGATTTGGGCCAGAGTAGAGTCATCTCATCAACAAAAACAAATAATCATGCACTCCAGCAAGCTTTGGCTAAACCCAAGTACCAGAAGTGCAAACCGGTGAACAAACCAGTACTGTTCTCATGGTAAGTTTTGCAGTAACGCTGAAATTTAACCAACTCCCCCAAGTATCCACTATTGCACTATTTTAATCCTACCTTTTAAATATATGCACGTGCTCTGTCTGTCCGTCTGTCTCTCTCTCTCACCAGTTTTAAGTCGCCCCGCTCCCCCTCCCAGGGGACATAAGAGTAACAAGAGCCAACAACTCCTATTCTTAACATGATAGCCGATATAGGAAGAAGAAACAATTGTATCCACCATCATTCTCACAGCAGCCTTAGTCTATAATGACCCTCAGCATGCCAGTCAATGCAGAGAAGACAGAAAAGCAGCCTTTAAAAATGGACTGATTCTGAAAATCTGAGGCCTTTCTCATTTCAAACTCACCTCAACTCAAGCTACCCCACTTTAAGCCTCAAAGTCAATGAAGCAGTAGCATGGAACCATTCAACTCTCCAGTCTTACCTTGCTTGCAGCTGCTCCACCTCTGCTTGGCTAGCCTAAAGTGAAAAGACAAGACAGATGCTCATTAACACAAGATTTTTCTAGATTTTTTTCCTTTGCTTTTAATTTAAAAAAAAAATATTTCCGCCCTACCTGTCTTTATTATGCGCCTAGCTCAGAGAGCAGAAAGAGAGAACATAGATTGGTTTCTATAATTCATGTCAATGATGGACCCAAAAGTGAGAAAAAGAGGATTTATGATCAGGAGGCTCCCAAAGAACTTGGAGGAGATGTGGATAGCCCTTGCTGAATGCAGGCTTACTTGAGAGAAAGGGAGAGGAGTCCTGACCTGGGTGTCTTTGGCTTCCTTGGCCTGGCCAGCTTCCAAGAGAGCTTCAATGGATTTAATCCTTTCTGTGAGCTTTGTATTTTCTGTACTGGACTCCGAAAGCTTTCCTTTGAGTTTATTCAACTCTTCAGACTTGCTTTTCACCTCTGTTTCAGAGGACTGTAATTTGCTACGAAGTTCTACAGAAGAAAAAGGGTGGGTGGGGGAGGGGGAGAAGACGAATAAGTGAGACAGTCAAGAAAGGACTACCCAGTCTGTTCTCTCCAGAACTTATACAGTATCTGCTACCGTAACACCTTGTCTCTCCTGCATCTTAGTTAAAGGGGCGACAATGCTTAGGGTTTTAAACAGGGAGGTTTAAGTACAATAATTACTTGCAGTTAGATAGTCTTTAAAGGTTTACAAGCTGCTTTTCATAGCTTATCTAATTTGATCCTCATAAGAGCTCTGTGGGGCAGGAGCTATTATCATCCCTAATTTAGAAATAAGGAAACCAAAGCTAAGAAAGGCTGAATTACTTGTCCAGGATCACATCGTAAGTAAGTGTCTGAGGCAAGATTTCTTGAACCCAGACTTTCTTCTCTATCCACTACACACTATGCTACCTAGTAAGAAAAAAAAATGATGATTGTATTAACTGCTGAAAACACAGACAATAAGCAGATAGGAAAGAGCATTAACTAACCTGAATTTTTCTATGAAAATAAATGGGACTATCTTTTATAATTATAAGAGAAGGGGAAAAGGCTTCAGACTATTACTCAAACGCTATAAAATGAGGCTGGGGATTAATTTAATTTGGAAGAATGGCACACGAGAATTTATTTCACTTTGGTAAATTCAAACTCACATGAGAAGAAAAAGCAAACTGGGATGATATGACTAAGTTTATTCTGCAGAAAGTGAAAACTTTTCAAAGTTCAAGCTATTTTTTATTTGGGTGATTCCTCCTTATCCCCATAGTCTTTATATCAAAGTCAAGCTCCCAGACTTAGGAAAGCATGCAATATGATTTTCATGCCTTACCCCAGCACCCACTAAAATGTTCTGAAGCTCTAACCACTCTCCTATCCTCACCCACTCACACAAAGCAGAGTTGAGGAAATTATACCAAACCCTAGAAGGATGGTGGTACAAAGAATTCACATCAGGAAAGTAGAAACCTCATCAAGTCTGCATATTTTTGAGTTCTGCACTAGTTCGTTGGATGTATCAAGGTGGGGACCTGCAAAAAGTGCATCTTCTGAAGTTAAGTTTCATTGGTGTGCATAAGTCCCATCAATTTCCTGTGCCTTCTCAGGAAAGAATTCTCATTCAGAGCCATCTTACTAGAGTTCATGCAGCTGGTTAAAAGGTAGGTCTGGGGTAGTTCAGATAGATTCTTTCATTGGATGACAGCAAGTGATTTAATCTCCCTGGTCCTCCGCTGAAAAATGAGGGTGTTGGACTAGATGCCCTTTTGAGGTGCCCTCCAGCTCTAAACAGATGACCCTATGAAAACAGAAGCCTGCCTGGAGAGGTGAAGGGACTTACCCAAAGTCACAGGGAGAGCAGGTGGCAGAGTCACAATTCAAATCTAGGGGTTCTGCTTCAAGTTCAATTCTTCCCCCCTATTTCACTGACCCTGGACTTTTTCACCACTGGAGATGGCGGTCCTATGATTCTCTGACTTTACAAAGAACAATCCCTTCCTGCTTCCAACTTGAGACAAGGCCAAGAAATAACCATAGGAACGCTGTACATGCTCACGAGCAGTCAAGCCCACACCTCAACTCCAGGGATTCATTCTTCTCACAGTCGTGAAGATTTACATCACGGGAGGAGCTGGCCGGAGCCAGAGTGAGGGAGCATGGGTATGCCTCAGGCACAAAGTTATGGGGGCGACAGACTGAATGGCACTGGAAACAGGCAGGAAACGTAGGCACCTCTAACTCTTAGAAACGGCCGTGAGCTTCATTTGCCTTTGCCGCTCAGTTTCTAACACACAGGGACAGAGAGGTAATAGAATTATCTAACCAGCAATATTCTGCTGATCTCCTTTTGCTTTCTCCAAGTCCGCCAAAAGATTTTTGTAGCTGGATTGGGATTTGCGAAGCTCTCCGCTCACTTCATCTAGTCTCTTCTGGAGGGCATCTTCTTTTTCTTTTTGAGAAACCTGGAAGAGGGAGAGCAAGGACAAAAAAAAAAGAGAGAGAGTGAGAGGAGAAGTTGAATTCCCAAACTTAGGAAAGCATACAATATGATTTTCTTGCTTTACCCCACAGCACCCACTAGAAAAAAAATTATGTTGGCAGCCTTGGTTTCCTCGGTATGTATCTTTGGAATCATATCTTTTTTTTTTTGGTGAGGCAATTGGGGTTAAGTGACTTGCCCAGGGTCACACAGCTAGGGAGTGTTATGTGTCTGAGGCTGTATTTGAACTCAGGTCCTCCTGACTCCAAGGCCAGAGCTCTATCCACTACGCCACCTAGATGCCCCTGGAATCATATCTTGAAATTTGCAAATGCATTTTCCTGCAGTTCATACCCCTCAGCCAAGGGGAGTGAGTGCAGGAGGTAAAAAAGCCAAAGCAATTGTTTGAACAAACTCTGAATATACCAGTCCTCAAAAACAAAAAAACTGAGAGGCCCCAGGCTGTCTCACCAATAAAATTACAGGCACATATTTTAAAAAAAAAAAAAAGAGTAACTGTTTGTTAAGAAGGCATTCTAAGCTAAAATGGGATGGCAGGCTTTCCTTTAATCAGGATTGCTCAACCCCAGCCTCTCTTCCTTTTCTACATAAAGTGATTCCAGACGACAAAGGCTGGTCTGACTTGCACACTGAAAACAACAGAATGCTACTCACAACTAGAGGAAAGACATCAACCTCTACAATGAATGACAAGGAGTTAAAAGCAGGACTGGAAATAAGCAAAACCATCCTCAGAGGTTTTTTCTTTTAAACTATGTCCTGAATGTATTCTGCACAGTGGAAGTTTGTGTGCAGCTTTAGAATGAACAACATTTTCCATAATAAAGACATGATGGTGGAACAGTTTCACTCAAATTCCAAAGGAACAAATGAGGAAGGAATGTGGTGATGTGGCCTTCCAGAGAACTCCTGAACAAGTTGGTTTTTCTGCTCCTCATCAGCTGACCTGGAAGGGAGCAAGGAGAACCTCTCTCCCAACATGTTCCCAGGCAACACCAGAGAGAGGCAACTATTCTAAGCAGAACTACTGAGTAACTTTTTTTTAATCAGTCTAATGTAGTCAGCTACTTTCATTACAGAGGTTCTGAGTTGCTGCCAAGCCTTTCTATCCATTCAATGCTAACTTTAAATAGAACATTTGGTCAGGTGAGCAAATCAACATTAGAAAACGAGAGCATTTTTTCAAAATCCAAAGAAAAATGCTGGCACATCTCTTAGAGTGAGAGGATAATCATTTTCTTGCTTAGTAAGAAACGCTTAGAGGAAATAAGGAGATTGTAAAAGACTACCTCCCTACCCTCAGTGTGCTCAAGACACTGGGCCCAGGCAAGCTTCATCCCAGAATCCTGGAAGGTATGACTGATGAGTTACTCTCAGTAACTGAAAGACCAGGGCCTGAGAATAGCATAGGAGGCCTGGAGGAGTAGGGTAAATGTCTTCATTTTTCCAGAGAGAGAGGGAGAAAGAGAGAGACTGAGAGACAGAAAGAGAGAGAGGAAGAGAGTGGAGTATGCAAACCATGGGATGGGAAGCTTGACTTCAAATCTAGTGACATTCCAAAACATTCTATTTTAAAGGGATGATCTGGGATGTAGTCTGTTCACACTAAGCCTATCCCCCTCACCCCGAGAGGTGAAGAGGAGGGACATGCAAACAAATGCAGTAAAAATCATTGATGAATCACTAAATACAGCCTCTAGATATGGCAGAAGGTTGCGAACCCATGAGCTCCTCCTTACCTAGCTTACTTATAGGCCGGTGCATTCTATAATGGTATATCTGTAAAGGGCTCCAACTGCCTCTGTCCTCTTAGGTACAAAGTAGTACCAGCCCTAACCTTACAGGGCACTAGAAATCAGGTGTCACTTCTGGGTAGAGTTGCTTTCCTGGAATTATTCTATGCGTTGCTGCTTCATTTCTCAGTCACTCCTAGAAACTACAAACTTGTATTTGGCATTTGGAGTCCTGTGGTTCTCTCCACATATTCTATGTTCAAGCCAAACCAGCTTACTTATATCTCTTGCCTCCGTGTCTGACACGCTCTCCCTCCCCATTTCTACCCCTTGGAATCCCTAGATCCTTCCCCTTTCAAGATTTCACACAAGTGCTTTCTCCTATAAGAGGCCTGGCCCAATTCCCTCACTGTTATTTGCTACACCTCTGCTGCTCCCCCCCACCAAATTTGCTTTGACTTTATTTTGTAGTTATTTTGTATTTAATTATCCATATACATATTTCCTTTCTCCAGTAGGAGGTAAGCTTGTTGACTGTAAAGGACTGGAATAAAGAGGTACTTATTAAAACCTTGATGAGATAGCAATCCAGACATAAATGTTGTTAGGCCACGAGCTCTGCAATAGTAAGATAACTCAGTGAGACAGGCATGCAAGAGGCCTGCTAGATACTGAAAAAACCCTCAGATGTTTCCAAAACTTCAGTTCATCTACTAAAATTGCATGTGTCATGATGGGCTGAACACAGACACATCTGTTTTCTTCTCACTACGTTCCACAATGTTGCCAGTCAGAAACAGAATCGGGTTTCAGAGGCAGCCTCCTTCCCTTCCCAGAGATCTGTATTCTTGCCAGGAAGGAAGAAGGAAGATATGATATGATGAGACTGCTAGAGATGCTGAAAACCTAAAGAAAACTCCAGCCATGGAGAGCTCACATCCACTCAGATACCAGGAAGCTTAAGTCTCCACAACAGGAAGCCTTAATTGGGAGAAAAGATGGTTTCCAATAAGAAAAGCAAAAGCTTTAGATTCAAACAGTCAAAGGGATGATTCCTGAAATTAGTATCTTAAGCTACTGAAGATAGAGCCATACCCAAAGGATAAACTACCCCAACCTCAGATTTAAATTTAGGAAGGAGTAAATGTAGACCACTAGGAACAAATTACACGCTTCTCTTTAGGGAAAAAGAAAAACTAGAAAAAGGAAAACCTCAAATACCATCCATAAACTAGACAGGCTCACAGAATGTCAGAGCTAGAAAAAACCTTGCTCAAACACTCTTGTTTTACAGATAAGGAAACTGATGCCCAAGGAAGCTAAGTGACTTGCCCAAGGTCACCTAGCTAATTATGGAGCAGAAGTAAGACCAGAACAAGTTCTCCCAACTACACCTAACTGCTGTAAGCAACTTCCTTCACCCATGCTTTGATGATCCCACATAAATAGGACCAAAAGCACCTCAGATAACAATTTCGTCTTCATCCAAAAATCCAAACAAAAAAACTGGCCCAACAGGAAGGTTTTCTCAATACCTAAGTCAAATTCCTCCGAATATTATCTGTTTCCATTCCCAAGCTGCATTTGGGGCTTCTGCTTTTTAGACACAGACCTTCAGAAGAGAAGCGTCCTAATCAGTTTGGATGAGACTACATTAAATTCAGAAGGAAGTGGTTGGCATTATTCTCCTTGTTTTTATGAATGGTCAGATACGTAAAAGCCACTTCTGATTGGGAAAGGACCCTATTCTGAGGCAGTCTGCCCCCACAAAAACAGAGCTTATACAAGTGGGTAAAAATAAGCCAGGTTTTTCAAATAAGAAGTCACGTCTCCACAGCCAATTAGTAGTCCCCAAAAAGAATTTGAGCCTAAGTAAGCCATTGTCCAGGGTTCCTTAAAAAGAGATGGCCAATTCTTTATGCTAATCTTTTAATACTATCCCGCTGTGCCTCCAGCAAATTCGTGCATTTCATTCATCACAAAGGAGAAGAGCTGAGTCAGGGTGGACAGAAGGGACCAATTCCAACAAGGTTCCTGGAAAAGGAGTCAGTGGGCCCAAGCGCAGACAGACAACATCATCTCTCCTCATCACACACTGCGCATGGCCCCAAAGGGACTGAACCAACCCATGGGAGGTACCAGGCCCAGGCCTCACCTGCAGCTGATGGACCTGTTTCTCCAAGGTTGTGGCTTTGCTCTCCAAGCTCTTCTTCTGCTGTTCCTCCTGCTGCACAGCCTCAGACTTTTCAGCCACTTCTTTTGTGAGCTTACTACACTCTTGCCTGAGCTTGGCCAGTTCAGCATTCTGCCTGAAAGACAATTATGTCCTTGGATCAGACTGAGAGTTCATCTCAACGTTACAAGCTAATATCCTTGAGATTCCTAGGCTAATGAGACTAACTCTTCCCCCCATGCCCAAAACAACACAAAATAGAATTCCAGTGAAACATGAAGGGCTTGGTTGGAAAATGTAAAGTGGTCCACAACTGACTCAGCCTCTCATGATTTTTCTCCAAGACAGTGACTAGCTCAGAAAGTGAAGAGTTCTGTAATGGAATACTATTGTGCCATATGGCGGACAGTTTCAGAAAGATCTGGGGAGACTTATATGAACTGATTCAAAGTGAAATGCCAAAACCAGGAGAACAATTTATGTAACAACTACACCACTATAAGAACAAACAACTTTGAAAGCAATGAGAATTCTGATCAATTCAATGACCAACCATGATTCCCCAAGGACCAATGGGGAAATATACTCAGAGAACAGAATGAGACATGTTTTTCTTTTTGGACACAGCCAATGCAGAAATTTTTTCTGCTTGACTCTACATATTTTTTACATAGGCTTTCTACCTCTTCAATTGGGAAGCGGGATCTATTTTTGTTCATTGAAAAAAATTAATTTTAAAAAGTAAATAGTTCTATGAGCCAGATAACTATGCGTTAGGAAATTTACAAAAAATAATTCTCTCAAAAGAGGCATGTAGCACTTTAAAAGAGAGTGTAATTCAATGGCTACAATAATGTAATAGAAAACATTAGAAGACATCAGAATTCAAATCAATGCAATGATTGATCTAGATTCCAAAGGTCTGGTTATCAAATACCTCCCACTTCTCAACAGAAAGGTGGTAGAGGAGAATGAGGCTTACTCTTGTCAGACATAACAGACAGTGAGTCAAAATATCAGTTTATTTTCTCATTATATTTTTTTACTTATAAGGAAAGTTTTATTGGGAGGAGGAGATAACTGAAAAGTGATATTGATGTTAAGAAAGAGTGTAAATGTAATAGAAAAATAAAAAGCACTATAAAACTTTTTAAATGTTAAATTTAAAAACAGATTTTTTTTGTGACAAGTGAAATACATTTTAGAATTCTCTGGTTTAAAAAGAAAAAAACTCTTAACTATGGGGGGGAACACAAAGTTAAAAAAAAAAGTGTGTTCATCAGTAAGGCTCAATTCCATGAGAGCTGTCCTGGAATTTTCTAAGCATTCAGAGGAGAGGGAAGTGACAAAGCCTCCATGTTCTCGTTTCTCCTTACAGTGCCAACAAGCTCTGCAATCAGGGATGAATTTTCCTGAATTGTAAAGCACTCAGGCATCAGTGCAGAATGTGCTTTGTTAATCCACATCTCCCACTTTCTCAGCTAATTTTGTGAGCCGAAGAAAAGAGGACTAATGAAGGGTCTCATAAAATACTCATTGAATCATAGAACTTGAAAGCTGGAAAGGACCTTAAAGATTATCTCTGTTTGACCTTCTGATTTTCCAGATGATAAAAACAGGTTGGGGAAGGGCAGGGGAAGTACTAGGGAAGCGGGAAAAGGATAAAACAGAAAAATAAACTGTCCAAGGTCATACAAATATTCAGTAGCAGAACTGGGATCAGAACCCAAAGGTTAACTCCCAAAGAGGCCACCAGACCATCTTTACAACATACAGTTTCCAGGGAAAACAAACATGGCTAGAATATTGTAAATGCAAAGGAGAGGGGGGAGGTTCCTTAAACTCAAACTCAATGCTGTGTCATTATAATGATCAAACTTGGTTCCAGAGAACAGTTTGGGGAGGGGGGGGAGTGCCAAAGGAAGGGCAACTCCTTCCTTTCTTTGAAGAGGTTGTGGGGCAAAGGAAGTGGAATATTACATATACTGCAATATAAGAGTGATGTGTTAGCTTCTTTTTTTTAATAACTATTTCAGTAGAATTGGTTTCCTTTGTAATCCAGTGTTTTTTATTTTGTTCTGTTAAAAACATTCTTTTTTTCTTCTTTCTTTTGAGACTTGGTCTTTCTATCTCACCAAGCTGAAAATTGAGTGGCTACTCATGGGCCTGCTCACAATATGATTGGCATGGAAGCTTCTACCTATAACATTTTTCAGACCTGGGCTGATTTGCTCTTTTTTTGGTCCTTCACTGGGTTGGGTCTTACCATATTGGTGCTGGGCCAAAAAAAAAATATATAGTTATATATTTAAAATATACAAGTAATATAGTATATATAATAGTATGTTGTTATATATTATAATTACATATAAATAACATGTTATAATTATATATAAATATTGTATATTATAATATATAATGTGATGATATATGGCATATAAATATATATTTTAAAAAGAAAATTCATGGGCCTCAGGTTAAGAACCAGTCCCAGAGTGAGGAATTTAGAGTTCAAGTGAAGTTGTACCACAGATAGAATTTTCCCCTCTGCCTCGAAGCATAAGCATATACAGAAACAGGGGTAACATTCAAGGCATGGGAGGACAGTCAGAGTTCCTCTGCCTAAAACTATATCTTCTATTTGTCATCATTCAGGAAATGGCAACCATAAAGATTCAAGCTCAACAGTTGAAACACAAAAGAAGATAATGACATACACAGAGGAACTCAAGACAGAAATAGCTTTACAAGGGCCCTTCTTCACCATGAGGAGCACTGATGAGAGAGCTAAGCCCATTAGCTTACAAAGCCCATCCAACACAGTCACCCTCCCTCAGCACAACGAAGGAAATTTTGAGGGATTTCTCCTTCTCATTTTCACTTCTTCAAATACATCAGTCTTTACTAGTCTTGTGATACTCTTTGTATCCATTAAGACAGCTAAGTAAATGGGAGCAAGTATCAGAATCTTAGAATGAATCACAGCAAGGCTCTTTAGCTCAAAAGGTCCCTAAATGGAAGTGAAGATACCGCTCAGGCAAAGACACTTGTTTAATGAAACTGCTATGTACTACAACAAAGTTAAATGCTGATCTCAGAGGTGGACATAGTACCCAATGTATTATTTTCTTAGCCATACAGCTTATAGGGAAAAAATAATAACTGCTTGGCAAGTTACATCTTCTTGAGTGTTACAAAGCAGTGATTAAGTACCCACAAATGAAGATGAAAATGGGATCATTTGAAGCTGAGGACCATGCTAGAAAACTCACTGTCAGGCAGCTAGCTGACCAGCTCTGGAAGTCCAGACCTTCTATAGCATTAATCATTAACTATGGCCTTTGAAAAGTTGCTTAACCAATTTGGAACTATGCCCCCAAATTTACTAAACTGTGTATACCAGTTGACCTAGTAGTATCACTGCCAGGTCTATGACCCAAAGAGATAAAAGAAAGAGGGAAAAGACCTATGTGTACAAAAATATTTAAAGCAGATCTTTTTCTGGTGGTAAAGAACTGGAACCTAAAGGAGAGGGGTCTCCATCTGGAAAATGATCAAACAAATTATGCTAATGAATATATTTCCAGTCCTGGTTTTAACTCCTTATAATGAATTTTATTGTGCTGTAAGAAATGATGAAAGGGACAGTTTTGGAGAAACCTGGGAAGATTTGTATGAACTGGAACAGAATGAAATGAACAGAATCAGGAGAAGAATTTATACAGTAACCAAATTATAAAGAAAAACAACTTTGAAAGGCTTAAAAACTCTGATCCACAATGACTAACCCCAATTCTGAGGGTGATGATGAAGCAAGCTATTCATTTGCTGACAGAAAGGTGATGCACTTGGGGTTCAGAATGAGATATTTTTTGGACATGTTTTGTTTTACTATGCATACTGGTTACAAGGGTTTTTTCTTTTCTTTCTCCTAATAAACAAAGGAAGAGGGAAGTGGGAAAAAGAGAAACAGATTTTGTTCACTGAAAAAAATAAAATTTAAAAATACTTAAGTGAAAATGAAAAAAGTAGTTTAACTTTTAATTTCTGCTTTGATTAATTTCATTCTATTAAGGGGGACATTAATAAAGTCTACCACTATGGGAAAAGTTCTTTATTTGTCATGGAGGAAAATCTCTATAAGATGTCAGTACCACCCAGTAACACAGAGGGCACCTAACAAAATGCAAGGTCTAAGTTTCAGGCCACAGAAAATGACATGATCTCCCTCCTCCAGCCGTCATTTGTAACACCATCACCTTTGTCACCTACATAAGGAGCCAGGGGGAGAGATCCATATTAAGAGCAAACTTGATGGGAAGAAATAGAAAAACTGACCCTACGTACACCTCATATCTGTGATCACTAGTACAGGAACAATGCTTCTCAAAGGAAAAAGTTAATGTACACAAAATCTACTTAATGCTCTCCCTCTCTCTCTCTCTCTCGTGCCCTCCAATGAAGGGATTCATTTTTTTACAGAGTGCAGGGGTCCTTAACTTGAGGTCTAAAAGCCCATAGATTTCAGGGAGTCTGTGAATTCTTATGGGGGAAAAAAATCACACCTTTGTTTTCACTATTCTCTAACTGAAATTTAACATATCCTGCAATTATGAATTTTTTTAAAATACTGCTCTGAAAAGGGGTCAGTAGGCTTTCACCAAGCTGCCAAAAGGGGCCAATACATAAAAAAAAGGGTTAAGAACCCCTGGTTTAGTGTGATTACAGGGCTATTCAGCAAGTATATTCAAGTTTCTACTTCTTATGAGTGAATACTAAAGCTTACTTGCTCTCGGTCTGACTGGTTGCTTGATTCAAAGCATCCCTCAGAATTGAGTTCTCTTGCTGTAAACGAGCCAGCTGTGTGTTTGGTCCATTCTCCAACTGCTCTTGAAGACTTCGAATCTGAAAATGAATTTTAGAGGATAGAAGAGCATCAGTCAACAATGCCTGAGGGAAGATACGGCCCCCAAACTTGCTTTCTGCAGTATGGCATCTGGGTTGCAGAATACAGCTTTCTTCTTGAAAGCCCCTGAATGAGACTTTTTTTAAAAAATCTATTTCTTTCTCATTCCTCATTACTTCTAAACCTTTTCACTATAGCCTCTCAGGCTATTAGAAAAGATTCAGGCTAGAACCTCAGAAACATTCCCTGCTTCACTTCTTCTGTGGCTACACTGTTTGAAATTTGTATTATGAGATAAAACAAGTTACCACAAACCAATAAAACCTCTTATCCTCAAGAGGAAGACAAGCTTCCCTTTCCTTCTCCTGACCCATTATCACCTTGCAAGAGATCAAGCTGAAAGAAAACATCTGTAGCCGATGGTGGAAAAACCAGTGGCAAGCCATGGAACATAACAAATAGGATTTTCTGCCCTTCCCTCTGCTCATCTTCTAAAATAAACAGCTTTAACAGTTCCTGAACCTGAGATAGACACCACAGAACCTCATCCCCTCTCCACAAAGATTTTAATGCTTTCCATTTTCCAAAGTATTTTATCTCAGCTGATTCTCTCCACAACACTACATGGGGTAGGTACAACAGGGACTACTGTCCTCACTGCTGAAAGGAGGGAACTAGATCAGATTGATTCAGTGATTGGTTCAAGGTCATATAGGGCCAAGACGAGAGCTCAGCTCCCTGGTGCTTCACACTTTTTGATCACACCCAAGGTAACAGTCCCACCTTCTTCCACAAGAGTTTTCAGATCCTATATTCCTTTAGCCCCACTTTCGCTGGCTTCCCTTCTTGGCTTATATGACACTCCCCCCTAAAATGAATGTAACCATCCAAATCCTTCCCATTCTCCCCCACACCCCATTCTCCTACCTCTTTTAGAAGTGACCCTGGTATTTGGGCTGTAACAAAAACTGACCCAGCAGAAATGGATTTCAGGTCCTAGTCTAAACCAATTGTCAGACTCCCACTCCCCAGAGCCCAAAGCTCTCTGCCATGCAGCCTGCAGGATGACAAACGCCTCACCTTCCCCTGCAGCTGCTGCACTTCATTCACGTGGTCCCGGTAACTAGCTTTCATGCGTGCCTGTACAGCCACAATCTCTTGCTCCCTGGCCAACAGCTGTTTTTTCACATTGGCTTCCCCAGCTGCCGCCTTTGACTTCTCGGATGCAAGCTCCTGGGGGGTGGGAGGGAGGAGAAAGGAAGAATATTGGTTTTATTTTTGTTAGAGCTGGAAGCAGCTTATCAGATGGGACCTGAGAGCACCTCCAAACTGATGACATAAAGGAGGCATCATCGAGAAGCTGGGAGGTCACATCAGCCCAAACTTTTCTTAGAAACCTCACATATGTTAAGTTCTACAATGCAACCATGTTTGCTCTAAGACCCCAATGTGGGATTCTGGGGAAAACAGAAATGGCAGAGTAATTTTCCATGTACAAGAATCAACCCCTATGTAGAAAGCTACATTTATTACTTGGCAACTGTAAAGTAAGAAGAGAACAAGGATGGGTGTGTCCATGTAAACTGCATCAAATCATTCTGATCTTGACATATATAATAGATTTAGATAAATAGTAGGATATTTAAAATTGCAAAAATTCCAGGACCTGAGCTACTCAAATTTCCCCTTAAATTGTCACTATTTATTAAGTGGAATACAATGGGCTTTAATAGGGGTAGAGAGAACAGACAGGTCCTCTATTCTCACCCACACCAAGACTAAGAACCAGGAATTAGAAGAGCAGCAGGAGTGCTAGGTCCCATATTTGCTCTCCTGGGCTGACTCTAGGGTCATGAACTCCTTACTCAAACTCCCACTTCCCTTTACTCTCTGACTTTTCTCATCTCTTTATAGATGCCCCCAAACCAAAGCCAAGAAATCTTACACAATCCTTTTCCACTCAGGGGCACAATTCACTTCGTTTTCAGATTAGAGAAAACCAAAGGACTAAAGGCTTTCCCCTAGAGCAGAAGAGAGAAGGATCATCTGGATGGGGAGACCCAGAAAGAAGCAAGGTCTTGGCTGACCAAAGTGGCCACTGGATGCCACTGTTGTTCTCCATGGGGCAACTAAAAGGGCAGAATGGGCCAGCCACAAGTTATGAGAACTAAAGAGGACCTAGCCACCCTATGGGTATTCTCATTGATGTCCTTCCCCACTCATTGACCTCTTAACACCTATATCCAAGGAAGGTTAAAAGATTTTCTGAAGCTGGCCAGGAATCTGCTAAGTCAAGTCTACCTTCTCAAATTTTTACAGAGGTAAGTGAGGGAGGAAATAACATTCACAGCTTGGTACAGCATGGGAAACAAACACTGCCCCACCACCACCAAAAAATCAGAATAGAGAGAATCAAGATTCAAAAGCACAAAGTAAGCCCTTCTACCTTAGAGGAATAGGGGTTACCCACATTTCCCTTAAAATCTACCCAGTTTGGGGGCAGCTAGGTGGCGCAGTGGATAGAGCACTGGCCCTCAAGTCAGGAGGACCTAAATTCAAATCCAGCCTCAGACCAAACACTTGATACTTACTAGCTGTGTGACCCTGGGCAAGTCACTTAACCCCAACTGCCTAAAAATTAAAAAAAGAAAAGAAAATCCAGATAGGCTAAATTAGATAGACTAAGCAAGAAGAGTAATGACATTTAAAAAAAAAAAAGAAACAACAATTCTTGATGCCTGAGGAACAGGAAGCAAACTTCTCCTCTGACGGGGCTTCCCTTCTTCCTGAACAGGAAATGGAAAAATGATAACCTCAAGAACTGAAGATTCCAGGACACTGGAATCCCCATCTTGACTTCATGTTCCTGGGCCCCATGCAGCTGCACATACTCTGGGGTACAAGAGTGTTTCAATATAGAATGCCTCACATTGGTCTCTTTTACACCATGTACCAGTAATGTATTTCCCTTAATTCTTTGAGAGGAAATACCATTCCAAAGCAGCAGCCCTTAGTCTTGCCACCAAGAACCCTTATCTCTGTAATCTGAGTTTCATAAACCCTCCGCATCTACACCCTTCCCACCAGAACACACATTTATGCTATGCCATGCTCTTCTCTAATTTCTCATGCCCCGCAGCTGACACAAGAGTGCTACAGGAAAACCCCCTAACAAGCCACAAAGGACTACCAGACATCTCAGCAGCCCACATGTCTGTGGCAGGTGTTATGAATCTTACCAGTTACTCTTCTCTAGAGCACGTATACCCAAGCATCCAGTGGGACATGGTCAGCAGTATATACTTTGCCACTATTTGTATGCATTAACTCTACACTTATACTGTTGACATTTTTATATGTCCATGCTGTCTTTCCCATTATAATGAAAGCTCTTTGCAAGAAGGGATTATTGAATTCTTGGTACTTGTATTCCCCAGCCCAGGACATGTCACATAGTATGTAAGTAAATTCTTGTGGATTGACCGAATCATAACTCTACCTGAGATTTAATGGCGCATCCATCCCAAAGCCATCAGTAGCCAGCCAATATTTTCTATTTTAAGGTTTTCCAGATCTAAGAAAATGCAGCTTTATTTGAATTCATTTACTTAACCCTCTTTAAATTCTTTTTCTTAAGGGCTATCAGATGTTTAGCGACTGCTGAATCCTCCGCCAATGTGATTTGGCTGCAAAGAGCTAATGCTCTTTTCTTAAAGTTTTATAACCCCAAGTTCATTGCTGATAGTGTCTTCTGCCCCAAGCATAGTTTTCTTTGATTTCTCACCTGAAGAGAGAGCTGGGTGCAGAATGCCATTTATCAGAACTGAAAACAGAAACTCTGCTCTGGTTCTGGGGTGTGTCTGGGAGAACCTTTCAGGCAACAGTCCAAAGGACAGGATCAGTATCCACTAGCCAGGACCCAGTGAATCTGCAGCCAGGTGAAGCCAGAATCAGGCTGGTCTGGTCTTAGATCTGCAACTTGAGACCTTTTGTGTTCACATTAAGTCAGAGAGTGACTGCACCCATGCTTATCACCAAAAGGTCTCTGATCTAGAGATTCAGAAAGGGCAGAGGGGCCAGCAAGAGAAGACAGTTTCTGCATTCAGAAGGTCAGTTCTGGCTTCAGAAGGAAGAGATGAGAGAAGGGAGCTATATGAGAGACAGCAGGGATCCTTGCAAAAACACCCAAAAAACCAACCACTTTGCACAGCTACCCATCCAACGCCTGACTCAGGAGGCTCAGGCTCTCCAAAATTTCAAAGTGGATGTTCTTAGTGTTCCCTAGTGTTTGAGGGGATATGACTCTCCGTTCTCATGCCTGGGGAAAAGAAGTTGCCAGGCTCTAATTTCCCTGACATTAGGAGTAGCATCTGTCTGTCTGTCTCTCTCTCTGTCTTTCTCTCTGTATCTGCATCTGTCTCTCTCTTCCTCCCTTGTCGGGAGATTAAAAAATGAGCTTTCAGGAACCAAGAGTCTGAGCCTGCTGATTTCCAATGTAAGCTTGGTATAAGAAGAATCTTTTTTAACCCAAAGCTTTGGTTTAAATTTATCTGATTTTTACTTTTTCCAGAAGTAAAGAAGGGAACAGGGAACAAAGACAGGCTTTGGCAGACAACTCTCTGCAGCAGTCCATTATCTTCCCTGCTGCACAAAAAACAGAAAGGAGACGATGACAGAAGATCCCTAGGTTTGTTGTCTGCTGACTTCACAGAATGAAACTGACTCAGTAGAGTCATGTTTTTCAGGCTCTCTTCCACCAAGGTCTCCCATGTATATGTTAAAAAAAATTCCTCCACAGAGGCAACCAAAGAGAGGGAGAGCTTTGTTAAATGATCCTCTCTGACTATTAATATCAAACACAGCATAGAGCAGGGAGGCCTATGCTAGACCAAGACACCAGAGCGTCTCATGAGGACATCCTCCCTAAAATCCGCAAGAAAGAGAAGTCCCTAGCAATGGTGAAGTCCTCCTTAAGACAGTTCTCAATAAACCAGTTACCAAAACCTGACTGGGAGAGAGCCCTTTTTGTTCTGAGAAGCAGAAATTACAGAAATAGGTCTTAAGATCACAGACTTAGAGCTAAAATGTACCTCCAAGTTCATCTGGTATAGCCTAACCACCCCATTTTGCAGACAATGAAACAAAGGCCACCAAAGGTTAAATAACTAGTATAAGATCACACAGGCAAAAGTGGCAGAGCCAGAATCTGAACTCAAGTTTTTGTTCTCTAAATCCAACTGCCTTCTTAAACTTGACTATATTATGGGAAGAAATATCATAAGACAAAACTTAAGTACTTAATGTAACCTGAATTATTTCCCCTCCCAAACAATTCTAAGAAAAAAAGAAACTATAACCTCATAGCCGAGCACTCTACCTGGGGTGTGTGACTGTCATTTAATTATTTTACATAAACCCTAGCAGCACAGCGACTGGATAAAACATTTTTGTTTTTCAAAGGAGGCAGTGGGCAACCAAGAGCAACATGTGAAAAAGTCCTAACTGGATTCTTGGCCAAGATATAGACTATGGCTCCTCTCAGGAATACTATCTTTTTAAACCTAAAAACCAACCAACCAAACAAAAACCAAAAAAACCCAAACCCACACACATATACAAAACCAACCAAACAAAAAAACCAATCCTCGATGCAAACTCATATGACCCTACTAAATCATTGAGGGACTAGTTCCTCATTTCTTTTTTTTTTGGGGGGGGGGGATAGTCAGTGCATTTTATTTAATAAGCACAGCACAAAAATAAATAAAAATAAGGGGAGAGAATTAAATTACAGCCAGACTGAGTCTCATGACTTTGTCAGATTATAAACCACACATACTTACACACACACTACACATACATACAAAATGAGACAAATAAATTAACATCCACAATTTGTTCAAAGGAGATCTACAGAGGAAATTGCACTAAAAAAAAAAACAACAACATACAACACACGCACATGGGTAATTAGCAGTTTCAAATATACAGCTGTGGATCATTTCAAGTGGGGGGGGCAAGGGAAATAGAGGAGAAATGGTACATTCTTTTTATTGCAACTTTAACAATTGCTGGTAGTTCCACATTTCTTTAGGCCACTATTGATCACCACCAGCAGACGCAATGTTACTGTAACATACAGGAAGAACTGCAAGTATTCTAGGGCTTTTAAAAAATGTTTATGGAGTTTTCATATGATCACAGATTTAAAGCTGGAAAGAATATTAGAGGTCAGAGAATCATAGGACGTTAGAGCCAAACCATCTAGTCCAACCTACAACTGAACAGGAATCCTCTTTACGATATGCCCAAGAACTGATCCAAGCAGCCGCTTCCCTACAGACACGCAGCAAGGGTGTGCCTGCCATCTCCTGCAGCCAGTACCTCTTTGGGATACTTAATGTTAAGAAGTACCTTTTACTCCTAGATCAGGATTGCAACAGAACAAGTCTAATAACTCTTCCAGATGACAACTCTTCATATGTCCACATGTGTCCCCCATTCCCCACCAAAATCTTCTCTTCTCTAGGCTAAATATCACCGATTCCTTCACACCCTTAGTTAGAAAGATCCTTTCATCACCCTGGCTGCAGTCCATCCTCTCCAACAACGGAAAAAAAAAAGCATGAAAAAGCATTAATAAGTGCTTACTACATGTCAACACTATGCACTGGGAGGTACAAATAGAAAGGGCTATGATGGACTCCACTTTTAAGTGGCTCATAACCTAATTGGTGGAGATAACAAGCAAAAGAAAGGTCAACTACAGGGCAGATGAGGAGACAGGAAGACCCTAAGGGGGTTCAGCTTCAGGGCAGATGGCAAGGTATAGGGGTCCTTAGTTTATGTGAGTAGGCCAGATAACTGAGCCAAGGGACTTCAAGATATAGAGAAAGGGCCTTAGGAAGCAATGGCAAGAATAAGGTCTAGGGGTCCTCCATCCCATCAGAAGGAATAAAGTTGTGGCCTTTATTAAGTTGAAGTTGTGGACAACTTATCCAAGTTATGGGAGCAGTCAAAACAGCCTAGGCAAAGTGGGAAGGATGCCCCCAGTGGTGACAGGTATTCCTACCACCTGTCATTGCCTGAGCTGAAGGAGAGGGAGACAAAGAGGCCTGAGAATACCAGCATCTGACCAGAGCAGGGCTATCTCATTTCCTTGTCCCTGGATTCTATGACTCTCAATATAACTTTAGTTTACAGTCAAGTATTTTCCCATCACACAACTGACTCATGTAGTTTGTAATTCACTAAAATCCCAAATCATTTTTCAGAAAACTGCTGACTAGCTGTACCTCTCCACTTTTATACTTGTGAAGTTGACTCTTTTTGAACCTAAATGTATCACTGCATATTCATCCCTACTAAATTTCATCTTGTTAGGTTCCATCATTCTAGCCCATCAGGACCTTTTCAGATCCTAATTCTGCTCCTCTTGGTGTTGTGCCGACTGCAAATCTGATAAACATCCTTCATTATATTCGCCACAGTGCCTTGCACAGAGCTGAATAAATATTTGCTGAACGAACAAATGTTCTGTACAAGCGACGTGTTATCTGTTCATTATCCATATTTATCTTGCATTTTATTCCACATCTGTATGTTTTTCTACATGATTTCATGTCAATGTTGTTTGTCTCAGCCTGTACGCTCCTACAAGGATTAAAACAATTCACATCTCTGTAACTTCTCCTGAAGTTCCCCTCTGATGCCAGTAATCCTGGAACCTCCTTATTTTAAACCTAAAGAAATGAGGCCCAGAAAAATTAAGTGAATTGCTTATGATCACCCAGGTAGCAAATGGTACAGCTAGGACGTGAACCCAGGTTCACAGGGCTTAGTCCTGTGCCTGGAACATAGTAGGCGCTTAATAAATGTTTACTAAACTGAATTGAACTGAAATGAATTATAAACACAATTTATCTATTAGAGGTCTCCCTTCCTCTAGATACCAAAATTTTCTCACTCTCTTCTACTAACAGTAGAACCAAAGCCCTGCCCTCACCTACTCACTCATTCCTGAGGCTGAAGTTTTCAAGTGAATCTTTTAAGTGTGGTATTTTTTAAAAGGTGGCATGTGAAGATATACCCCTAAGAAGGTCTAGGCAAATCGCAAAATATTAATGCAATGGAATATTATAGCACCAGAAAGGGTGATAAATATGGGAGGGGAGAGAATTACAAAGAAATAGGCAAAGACTTAATAACAGAAATAGGCAAAGACAAAGTGATGTAGAGTGATAAAAGCTAATTTTGTAAGAAATGCATCAATTAGGTCAAAAAAAAAAGAACTATAGCAACAAAACTTTATGACTATACACAAGACACCAATGTGAAAGGGACAAGGCAAATAAATCGCTTTATGTAAAGTTTTTTGTAAATTTTTAAGTAATAATGATAATAGGTTTCCATTCAAAGTTTTATTTGCAATTTTATTCTTTTGTTCATTTGATAGATGATTGGCATTTGTTTAGATTGCTGTAATGTTTGTAATTTTGAACAATTTTTTTAAGAGAGCAAATGTATCCTTCAACAATGTGGACCTTCTCCCCACAAATCAAGGGGGAAAGAAAGCAAAAGGTTGATCCACACTTTTCATGGGTGTATCATCTTCAGATGGTTGCCCAGAGATACACACGTACAAAAGTTAATGAGACTTAGAAAAAGTCCCTGAAGGCCTGACCTTTAACACTGACGAAGATGAAACCTTCCCAAGAGTCCTTTGACTTCCACCCCTCTCTGCTCAATTTCCCCTATAGTGGTCATATGAAATGATAACGGAACTGATAAAAGCCTGACTTATTTTATATTCCTTTACACAGGAAAGAGAGATAAGGAGAAAACATCACTCTAAGGAGAGACCATCTTGGACCTTTCAGTGTCTGTATCAGCTCGGATATACGACACTAACATCTCTGTGCTCACCTAAACAGACAGACCTGAGATAATGCCCAGATGAACATGCCTACAAGGACATATCCTGATTGAAGAGTATTCAATCAACAAATACTAGCCTACTACATGTGAAACACTGTACTATGCCTTATCAATGATAAGAAAATTGGCTGGGGAGGGGAGAGATGTAGAAGTCACTTCTGAATTTATTTTAACTATAATTCACAAGGTATAAGACTAGACTAGTCTCACCCTCTCAAATTTCCTGACTGATCCTCCTGGTAAACAGGTGCTAGCTAGCAGGATGGGAGATGATGACTAGACTTCTCAGTTCACTAATACATGTAACTCCTGAGTGAGGAAACTCTCACTACCAATGCAAGTTGGCATCATTTCTATAACTTACAGTCTTAGGAAGAGCTGTCTAGAGCATTGAGAGGTCAAGTTATTTTCCTGGCTTCAAGGCCAGTAGTCTATTCACTACAATATCCTCACAAGCAAGCATTAAAAGGAACAAAAAGTGGGGAGAGGGGAAGGAAGGAAAAGAAGAACTCATGGATAACTGAAATTAAGATAATCTACTCCATCAAGTGTTTACCATTTCACAAAAATGTCAACCAAGAAGCCTAACAAAGCGTCCATCTGGTTTAAGCCAGATATATATAATCAGTGACACTGCAGAGCCCAGCTCCCAAACTAGGTACCAAGAACAGTTAGCATAAGTCTCATCTGCCTAAGAAGAAATAGAAGAAAATCAAAGACCTCATCCAACTCTGGGTTTCTTCCAAGTCTTCAGACAGGTGGGCATTAAAGGCTAGCAACCTAGTCCAAGAATCTGCTGGGCCAACCCTAACCCTAACAAACAAGAGAGGGATATGAAGTGTTGGTGACAGATTAGATATTTTTCAATGGATCTGGGATCTCCTCCATATAGGCACTACCTCCAATAATGAAGTTTATAACCCAAGAATTCTTGTCCAGGCTCTCCTATCAAGCTGCCAGAGAGGAGACACCTCAATGGACATGTAGGGACTTTCATCTAGGTCTCTTCCTACTGTCACCAATGGAGTACATGGGCTGCCTGGCAGTTTCCTGATTCAATGAGTGACATTATGGCTCTTCTCACTAAACAGGATAGAAGGAGGGATATGTTTATAGACACACTCCATGGAATTTACCTTATTAAGTTCCCTTAGTCTGTTTTTGGCAGCAGCAGCATCCTGTTGTTCAGTGGCCAGCAGCTTTTCCTTCTCTTCCAGTTGTCGCTTTAAAATTGCCACAGGATCGCCTTTTTGAGTAGCCTATCAAAGCACCAACAGATTCAAATTAGTATCTAAGAAATGCCTGGTGGCTACACATTCTACTATAGTTTCCAGGACACAGCAGTAGGAGGCACTGTAGTCCTACAAGGACCAAGACTGCCAAAGAGAACAGTTTACATCCTTCAGGTTTCAAAGGGCAACACTAACAACTCATAGGTTTGTAGGCTTTAGGGTTTATTTAAAAATCAAGTTGCCAGACACTATCTCATTTCTTCTTCTCAACAACCCTGAGAGGAGATGCTATAGGTTTATTATCCCCATTTTACAGAAGGCAAAACAGAAGCTTGTGGTCACACAACTTGAAGTCATCAGAGGTGGAATCACCTCTCTCCTGACTCCCTATCTCTCCACTACATTAACTCAGCTCACAATTATGGAGGGGAGGGCATTACAGGAGGTCATTTGGTTCAGTTCTCTGCCTGAAGGCCATGTATGAAAACAATACTTTTCAAGCAAACAACTCCTCGTCTCATTAAGAACCAAGAATGTTAGAGTTAACTATACTAGCAGAAATGTATTAATTATTTCTAAAAATCTTGGACAGCCTTCTCTTTATTATTGTTTATAATCAAGTGATAAACTGTAAGTAATACGTTCCATGAATGACAGTGGCGTGAAGGATGGACTGGAGGGTGCAAAGAGCAGAAGCAGAACGACCTCTAAGATTACTGTAACAGCTCAGGAGATTAGGAACAAAGATCTGGATTAGGGTGGTAGCAGCTGAAACACAGCACAGGAGACATGTGGGCAAGAGGTGGAATAAACATACCTGGGTAGGAGAGGCGAATGAATGCCAAAGGTTAAACAAGGAAAGCCAGGTGAGAACGGTGGTGACATGAGCGAGGAATTCAGAAGGAGTAGGTTTATAAGAGGAAACTTTGGTCCAAGACACTGAGTCTGACATGCTAGTGACATATTCACATTTAATCTTTTACTGTGCATTCAACCGCCACCAGATGGCTTACAGCAATCTCCTTTTCTCCCCTCTCAGAACTATCACCTTACTTCAGGCCTTTATCACTACTTCCCTGTATCACAGCAGCTCCTGAACTGCCCTCCCTGACCATCTCGCCTCTCCCCTCTCCGATCCATCTCCAAAGAGCTGCCAAACCAACAGCACTAATGCACAGTGCTGACCGTGTTACTGCCATCCACAAGACATTTCAATGAATCCCTACTGCCTCTAGATGACCTGGTCTCAACCTATCTTTCTAGCCTGATTTCACATTACCTTCCTCGCTCCTGCTGTACTCCAACCCTGGCCAAACCAGCCCACTTGCCATTCACTATACATGACACTCCATCTCTTCGCCACCCAAGGTGTTAGTGCTTCACACACACACACACACACACACACACACACACACACGTTCACTTTGCATTTACTTAGGTGTGTGTGCTAGTTGTTCCCCTCAGTAGCATGTAAATTCCCTGAGGGTAGGGACTGTCTCCGGTGTCTGTTTCCTCAGCCAATAGTCCAACATTTGGCACATACTAAGTGATAAATAAATGCCTATTTGAACTGAACTGAATGTTCTACAGACATTGGTCAATGGGGGTCTAGAGAGCAGAAGAGAAGTATTTATTAGGGACATGAAAGTCATCTGCTCAGATACATTTAGTAATCACTTATTACTTGCCGGGCACTGTGTTAAGCATTGGGGATACAAATACAAGGAAAAATACAGTCCCTGCCCTCAAGAAACTTACAATCTAATATGGAAAGACCATATACAAAAGAGAGTTGGAACGTGTTGGGGAGGAAGAAAGGAGAGGGAAGAGAAAGGTGGGGTAAGTATCTGACACAGGAGCATGTTGTTGAAGTCTGGAAAGACAGAACTACAGTCAGCAAGGAAATGACGGTTGGCTGACATAGCAGGGGGGTGTTCCAGGGTGAGAAGGCCTCAGGGGATGATGGACGCTCCAGAGTGAGGCTGCAGATGAAGGGGGCCAGCATAGTACTGTTGGCATGTAAATAAGGAGTGAATAGCCATGAGGAACTCTGGGACTAAATGAGGTTGTCAACAGAGAAACTACTATAGAAAGGAAGAGAGGAGGGCCAAGGACAGACCTTATGAGAACACCCTCTTAAAGGGCAAGGAAGAGTCTAATGGAGGAGAGAGAGAGAAGAACCAAGAATCTCGGATCCCAAAGGAGGTGAGAGCTAGAAAAACCAAGTAGTTAACGCTACTAAGAAAAGGTCAAGGATGAGAATTCCAAAAAAAAGGACATTGGATTAGTGACTAGGTTACTGGCGGCATTTGAAAACAGTTTCAGTACAGTGAGGGGTGGGAGTGGAGGAACGAACATCTTCCCAAGCTGCTTTCACTTGTATAGAAGGTGATATAAGTGTTACTATCTTCTCCATTTTCTAGATAAGGAAACTGTGGATCAGAAAGGTCAAGTGATAGGCTCACAGTCACACAGCTAGAACTGTGAGCATCAGGGTGCAAACCTCCTTGCTCTGAGGTTATTGCTCTTCTCACCAAACCATGATGTCTCAAACAGAAAAACAAACCACACAACTTTCATGTAAGATGTTCACATGACAAGAAGAGGAAATCATATGAAATATTTGGCCAGGCTCAGATTCACACAAGAAAAAGAAATTGTTGTGTCCTAAGTTGCTTTGTAAGAGGTGGTCATGGCTACACTGCACCCCACTCCGACTCATTCCACCAGCTGCTATATTGTGTCCACATCTTCCACACAACTCCTTTACTACACACACACACACCCTATTCATCCCCTCATCAATGCTTTCCTAAATCAAGCCTCTGCCTTTAATGTATCCTCCAGGTACCCAATAGATATTCCAAAAGCACAAGTGTGATCATGTCACTCCTCTGTGCAAGAAGCTTCAGTGGCTCCCTACTGAAGTCAGGATAAAATCCAAACTATTCTGTTTAGCATTTAAAGGCTTTCACAATGTGACTCTGCCCTCTCTCTCCCAGCTGAGTTCCTGACTTCCTTTCACACGTGCTCTTCCAGTCAGCGGCCTCCTTTCTGTTGCTCTGCTGTCTCCGTGCCTTAGCACAAACCATCTCTCAACCCTCCTCACCTCTGCCTCTCGGAAGTCCTAGTTCCCTTCAAAGCTCAGGTCAACAGAGGTCTTCCCTGATCAGTCCTGCCCTTCCCCACCATGTTAATTCTCTTCCCAACAGTCAAATTATTTTATACTTTTAAAATATATATTTTACAGTCACTTAGGGTACAGGTTGTTCCTTAACTCATTCCACTCTATCCAAGAGAATGTAAGCTCCCTGAAAGGAGAGTTTCATTTTTTTGTCTCTGTCTCCTCAAGTATCAAGCACATGGAGCCTGGCATATAGTAAATGTTTAATAAACGGCTTCTGAATTGAACTGAACTAAACTGTTAAGAAGACTGAAGGCTGGGGCAGAAGATGAGTCTCTCCTACCTACCACAAGGAATGGAGACTGCTCATCCCTAGGTCTACGGAGGGGGTGGCAGCTGGGGCTCCTGGGAGCTCTTGGCCTTGGTCTTAATGAGTCTGTAAAGATACCATACACACCACCATTCTTCCCACCCCCCAAAATAACCACTCAGTTTTGATCTGGAAAGAAATACTTCATGGGAACTCTCAGACTATAAATTACAAGGGGAATTCTTAGCTCAATAAGGAACATAACAAGCTAGTCTAAGTTGAACTACCAAGCACATGGATCAACAGAGGAATCGTTTTCTCAATAACATACAAATCAACTACTGTAAAATGGGGATAACAATATTACCTGCCTCACAGAGTTGCTGTGAGGCTCAAATGCATTAAAATATGTAAAGCACTTTGCAGACCTTAATGTACTATATAAATGCCTATTATTAATAACTTTTATAAAAGAAAAATAGGATACTCAACAATAAATTCTAAACATTAAAAGCAAACAATTTTTCCTAAAAAGAGGATGACACTGGATTACCTCTCCTAGTCTCAGTTGGGCAAATCTGGACTGCATCCCTGTGGACTTTCCTAGCAGAGAGGGAAAGGAAGAGAAAGAAGGGGGGAAGAGAGGAGAAAGGCTGCAGAGCCAGGCTGCTGCTATTCGGCTCAGCTCTGTCAGAGCAGACCTAGGGCAGCAGGCAAGGCTAAGAGGGATGGAGACCCAGGATTTTCCCAGAGCCACCAAAAAGAAAGGGAAAGAAAGCAAAAGCAGAGCAGCCAGATTCCTGCTCCCTCCACTGCTGGACAGCAAGAGATGGACATGCAGCTAGGTCCAAAGCAAAAATTCCATAAGCTCCACCTACAACTTCTGGTCAAATTACATCACATGCCCAGTCACATGTCTCCTCAGCTCCGCCTCCAGGGAGGTGAGGCACCACCTATCCACACTAGAAGCTCGGCCACTGGAAATAGTTTGGAAGGGGCTCTTGTCCCTGGAGATTCATCTCCAGTCCTGCTCTGTGGCAATGACACAGAGACACAGGCTGGCCCCTTGATGTCTGAGATCATCTCTATTGCTTAGAACCAGCATAAGGAGGAAAGAGAGAGGAAGGGGAAGGGAATAAGCATTTATTAAGCACCTACTGTGTGCTGGGAACTGTGCAAATATTATCTCATTTGATAATGAAGAGGAAGGGTTCTTCCACTGCCTTCTTTCCCCTTTTAGAGAGCTGGAAGCTATCAGATGTTAATTATAATAATGGGAAAGGGAGTGGAGGAAATGCCTAATAAGGTATCAATTTATTAATGGTAATACTTTCAAGGAAAGGGAAAAATGCCTAACAGTTCAGGATCATAGATCTAGAACAGGAAGAGACAGCATTCTAACCGAACCCCCTCATTTTACAGGATAAGGAAGCTAAGGCCAGAGCAGTTAATGACTCACTTCCCTTTCCAGCTTCATTATCCCTTACTCCCCTCCATGTACTCTATGGTCCCACCACACTGGGATTTTTGCTGCTCCTTAGACACAACATTGTCTCCTAATGGTCACCCATGGCTAGAATACATTCCCTCCTCCCCTATCTCCAAAAACCCCAGGTTTCCTTCAAGACTCAGTTCCAACACCACCTTCTGCTTGAGGCCTTCCTGGTCCCTGTCTAGAACAAGCCACTAGTCCCTTCTCCTACGAGATTACCTTGTACCTACTTTGTATGTATCAATATAGAGAGAGCTAGACCGGAAAACAGGAAAACTTTCATTTGAATCCTACCTCAAGCATTTATTAGCTGTGTAATGGTGGGCAAGTCACTAGACCTCTCTCAGCCTCTGTTTTCTCATCTATAAAATGGAGATAATAGCACTTAACTCACAGGTTACTGAAAAGAACAAATGAGATAATATGTGTAAAGTGCTTTCAGGCCTTAAAGCACTAGATAAATGTTAGCTACTGTAATTAACTATTAAATGTAAAAAATTTAAAGTATCAAAATTTTATGTGCGTTTTATGTTCGTTTTCTCTTATAGGCCATAAAATCCTTGAAAACAGGGGCTGTTTCACTGTATTTTTTCTTTTTACAGTGACAGCCTCACACATAGTAGGGCTTAATAAATGCTTGTTGGTTCACTGGTGACTGTCCTCGGTCAGAGAGGACAGTATCAGAGGGGAGATTTAAACCCAGAGCCAGGGACCTTTACACTGTACCAGGCTTCCTTGATATGCACCCATCAAGTTCATCACATTAGCAAACAGAGAAGTAGCCAAGGACACCCCATAACTAAATAAGACCAATTCTATGCAAAGGTATACCACCTGTAGTTCCACTTCAGCCAGTCCTCTAAGTGTAGGAATGCTCAGGGTGTAGCAGCCTCCATCGTCAGAAGAAGCAGCATCTGCCATTAAGCTACAAGGACTGGTAGGATTTGGGGGCCAATGACTGGACATTAACCACATCACCCCTACATCGCCATATCCTAGGCTTCATGAGCCAGTCAAACCCCCTGGAAAGCACAAGACTATAGACCAACATAATTGGTGCTGCTTAAATTCACTCAGCAAGAAGAAAAGGCCCAATTTCTATATCCACACAGTGGAATTTAGCCTAACCCCCCAGGAGTGCTAACCGTCTCCTCAAGCTCACTGACTGCCCCAGGTGAGACGGCAGCTGTGACTCTATGGCAGGCAGAAGAACACTATTTTGGGAGACAAAGAAGGCAGCACTGTTTCTTGGGGGTACTGATGATCATTTCCTCCCCAGATGTCCCCTGCACAGTCTTCCCCTTGTACAACCATCAGAAACTTTGGGGTAGTAAACGCCATTGGACAAATTTCAGTGATGAGCCAGATGCAAGGACACTCAGCTCTGGAGCAACTGTTTGGGTATCTCTCAAGCGCTGAGTACCAGCCTAGGACTTGGCACATCCCAGAATACCTCTAATTACATCCAGAAATGATGAAAAATCCCTCAAGCAAAATTAATTTTCATTCACTTTAATTTACAAAGATAAATATGGGTTATACTGCACCTCTGGAAGGATTCTGGTCACATGACAGAGAGTAAAGACTCCAAAAGGGCTAGAAGTCACTATTGTTGGGACTCATATCAGAAACAGAAGAGTATTAAATTCAGAAAGGATTTATTAAGTACTTGCTAGATGCTAGGGATAGAAAGAGAAGAGTTAAAACAAAACCAAACCAAACCCAGCTCTTACCTTCAAGTCTACTAGAATGTAAGGATCTGAGCTTCTGGATCATTCCAATGAGTTTCAAATACGAAATATTCTGCTACATTCTACCCTTGCTCTTGGTTATTTTCAAGCTACAGCTGGGAATAAGTCTATCTTACTTACAAGATCGTTCTTCTCTCCTCTCCGTAGAGTCATAGGAATTATATATATTTTAGAACACATTTTATCAACAACTGTTGTTCATACAAGATATGCTGACCATCTTGATCCCTACCCAAGGACAACATGGTCCCCTGTAATAAAGCGATACAATGTCTGACTGGACCACATAGGCAACATTCTGCCCTTCGTGGATTGTACATCTCATCACCAGATTACAGGATCATAGATTTAGGGAAAGAAGGGTCCTTGGAGGTCTTTTCGTCCAACTCCCTCACTTTACAGATAAAAAAAAATAAGTCTCAGAAATTTATAGGACAAGCCAATGTCACACTGGTAGCAAGCAGCAGAGTCAAGATTTGAACCTAAGCTCTCCAACTCCAAATTCAGTGCTCTTTCCTTTGAACCACACTGAGTATAGAATTTACAGTAAGGGAGACCTGACTTCAAATCCAGCCTCAAACACAAGCTGTGTGGCCTTGGGCAAGTCATTTAATCCCTCTCAAACTCAGTACCCTCATCTGTAAATTGGGAGCAATCATAATAGCCTCTACCTCAAAGGGTTGTAAGGACCAAATAATACACATAAAGTGATTTGCAAAATTTAAAGTGCCATAAGTTAGCTATCATCATCACCACTTTAAAGTAAAGGCGTGCAACTACTAATGGTCAGGACTGATGTTTTGGCAGCTCGATGGTGATTAGAATGTAGCAGAAGACAAAATATATTTGCACTGTGATTAAGCCCAGCTTGGGATGAAGGGGATAAGACAGTATTCTTCTCTGAAAAGAAAAGTAAGGACAATTTTAAAAGACCAGATTGTTTTATAAGCATTTTCTTTCCAGCTTAACAACTCCAGCATGAGTTCATCAATGCTATACATTCACATCTGGGAATACATCACCATGAGCACAGCTGCATCTTGCTACAGAGGCTGTGTGTGGTACAAGGACTACATAACAATTTCTATTTGTTTTCATTCATGTGGGGGAGGAGAAAAGTAGAAACACACATATAGACATACGCACAAAAACGCACAATCACCATTAAAATTTCTGTCGCGTGTCAAAACTCTCCCTACCTTATGCCAGGTATCTTGAACAATTCCTGCTTTCTCTGATAAGATTTCGATGAGACAATGGGCTTCCCCTTCATTGAAAACTGTACTTCGGAGGGTGGATACCAGAGTCTTGTAGGGCAGATACAGGGGGCCATCAGAATCTGTTGGAGCTATGAGGAAAGAAAAGCATTTATTGAGGATCATGTTAAATAATACGTACAGATCTCAATGCTATCTATTCTTATTATCACACACACACACACACACACACACTTTCTAATCTGAACCAATTTAGTCTAAAACACTTGTTAAGCACCTACTTAGTCTAGAACACCAAATTGGAGAAGATCTATTTACTTAAGATAAGACTGTTGGAAGCCCCGTTACCTGTTAGATTTTATATTCTAGTTACCAGGAGAAGAGAAAATAAAACTTCCCCACAATTTCCTAACTGAAAAAAGAGGGAAAGTGAAGGCTAATCCACTTTAGGATTATTCAATATGCCAAGAAACTATATGATAAAGGTAAAGCTTCTTACCTTTTAAGAGAGACTCAAAAAATAAGTGAGAAAGGTGAAGAGAGGAAACAGATCTCTTAGTCTCCTTGAGAGAGAGAGAAAACATCATCCTTTCTTTATCACTGCATTTAAAAACAATCCCTTGGCTTCTACAAGATGAACCATTTTTTTTCTTGCAAAGAGTAGTAGTTGCTTCCAACCGGTTAAGTTTTTCACCAACTTTATTCACCAAAAGTTCTTCCCTCCCCCATATGTCACTGACAATAATCCACTCTAACTCTTTCCCTGACTTGCTAAGTGGCCAGAGTCCCAGGACAACATAACAAGGATAACAAAAATAAGGCATAAGCTCCGGTAGTTTTTTGGATGCTGCATGCATCTTAATTTCTTTTAACCCTCAAGCAAGTCTCATCCCTTTTGCATTGCCTTAACATTACCTCCCATAAAAGGATGGGATTTACCTCAAAATAACTGTAAAATAATTGTAATATTCATCGCTTCCTCCCCACACCCCCCACGGTCTCTCTCTAAAAGAGACAGAAGGTATAGTGTTAAGATTATGGAGTCAAAAGAATTAAGTTTGAAATCCAGCTCTGCCATTTACTTCCTGTGGGATTCTGAACAAGTCCTCCCCTCTCTTGGTATAGGCAGCTAGGTGGAACAATGGATAGAGTACAGGGCCTGCAGTCACAAAAACTCATCTTCCTGAGCTCAAATCCAGCCTCAGACACTTACTGTGACCCAGGGCGAGTCACTCAACCTTGTTTGCCTCAGTTTCCTCATCTGTATAAAGAGCTGGAGAAAGAAATGGCAAACCACTGCAGTATCTTTCGCCTTAGTTAACAACTCATTAAAGACAGTCTGCAAAGAAATTATCAAATGTCTCAAAGGATCATAAATTTAGAGCTAAACGGGGCCTTAGAGGCCATCTAGTCCAAGCCCTTCATTTTACAGACAAGGACATTAACTGAATCGACCAAGGTCACATAGGTCCTAAGAGGCAAAGCCAGGATTGGAGCCCAGGTGCTCTGACCTCCAATCCAGCAGCACCCATTCTCCTTACTCCACATCCTCCCAATAACTAGCTGTCATCTCTAAAAAAGAAAACAAAACGAAACAAAAAAATCCTACACACCTACAGAGATTTTTTTGGTTGGTTTGCTTGTTAGGGATTTTTGATTATTTCCTCAAATGCTCTTTCCCAAGACTCGTGAGCTCAAAAAGTCCACCATTCAGTTCAGGAATTAGCACAAGTTGAACTGAGGTGTCCTGACTCATGAGAGAAGACCCAGTTAAAAATACTTGCTAGCAATTTTCTCTTGACATACTTCAGATCTGTGCTGCAGTTGAATGATCTAAGTAAACAAAGGAATTTTATAAATAGCTGGTATATTGCTGGACTGCCAAGCCCACCTAAGCCCAAACAAAAAAGAAAGTTGGAGGAGGGCATAGAAGGAGAAAGATTTCCTTAGTTACACTCAATTCTCTGCTTGTCACAGTATTTCCACTTACTAGCCCCATTATTTTCATTAAAAGTCAGAACATTCACAATGATACTTTAATGAGTGGAATGGGAGAGGTGGGAAAAATATATGTTCTTATGAATACCTTCAATTTGTATGTTTGTCCTGTAGAACCATAAAGAAATTAAATAACCAAGCATTGTGTTAACAGTCTGAGACACGGTGGGCTCTTTGAAATCCCCTTTCTCTCCACACTTTGCACCAATGATCTCTTGGCTGTGAATAGGTCCTCAGGAAGTATGGGCAAAGGGGAACTAGGGAGGGACTCCAACATGCCTCCAGAAAGACTGACTGTATCCTATTGCGTTTTATACTCTCTACTCTCTCCCAGCCATCTAATCAGATTGTCCTCCATGAGGACTACTCCTAGAAAAGCAGAGAAATCTTCTATTCAAGCACACACAGCACTAACTAAATGAGTAATTCATTAAAAGAAGCCTACATAATGAAGTTTGCAGATGTCTCAGCAGAGAACTGTGCCTTTCATTTCAATTTGCTATCCTAAACGTCCTACACACTGTCTCTAGTTAGGAATAATAACTCATTTCTATAGTACTTGGGAATGTACACAGCACTTTATCTCATGTGGCCTCACAACAACCTTGTGAGATAAATATTACAGGTATTATAATGCCCATTTTGCACATTAGGAAAAAGAAAAGTGACTTTTTGCCCACAGACATGCACCTAGTAAGTTATGAGAGACTATATTTGAATTCACAACTTCCAGACTCCAACTCTCTACACTACGTAGGTAAGTTTCTAGGACTCAGGAGAGAAGCCTAGAACCACTAGGAAACAGATACCCAAATTTCAGCTAGAGGTGAAGATGATTTCAAGTACTTATTTGTAATTTCACTCGTTGCCATGGCCAAAGAATTCAAGAAATTGTCATAAATTTTCTGGCCTACTGGTGATAAGCCTCCCTGCACTTACCTGGGCTGACTAACATTTGAAAAGCAAGCTCAATCTGCTGCCAACACCACACTCAAGTCTTTCCAGCATGACGAAACCTGCTACAGCTTAAGCTTCAACGACAGAGCCCTCCAGAGCCTAGGGTCATAGCTCTGCCAGGCTTCTAGAGAGGTACTGGTGGAAGGAAGGAGTTTCCATTCTAGAATTTCCATATCCTGATGTATTTCATATCCATATGCATTCAGATTTCAGTTATTCTAATAAATCTTGGCTTTTCCATGAAACAAGTCCATAAGGTAATCTTTTTTTGAGAGGGAGAAGAGTGGGGCAGAAGAAGAGCTCCCCCCTACTTCGAAGAACAGCTAAGCAAAGAATTCTACTATTTCCATTCTCCCAAATGACATGAAATAGGGCCCAAATATATGGCTTCTAAATAGGAAACAACTTTCTAGCAATATATTTTTATCAACCAATTCCTGAAATTTAGCCAATTCATAAGTAACTAGTGAATTTGGAAGGACGTTATATAACAACTTACTTCTAAACTTTCTCATTTTTCAGACTTTTGAAACCTTCAGGCATTCTAATAAACTTAACCTAACACAAGACCGTGGCAAGTAACCTTTGTGCAGAAATATTTCAATGACCTGTTGACTGCCTTCTCCACTTAGATATTCTCTCCTCTCTTGAGTTTTTGTGACACTTTTCTCTTTTGTTTTTATTCCTACCCATCTGGTTTCTATTTCTCAGCCTATTCTTAAGTGTGCTGGATTAATTTAATTTTATTGATAATAAAACTTCAGTTCACCTACATGTACATAGCAGTCATCTACACACAACTTTAAAAATAATAGAAAACATTAATGTCTACTGCACTACTTGTCCTCAAGGAATTTATAATCTGGTCAAAAGACACAGTATTTACAGTTTTTAAAAAATTTAATAATACAGGGCAGTATCTGAACCATAAGCCTAATGAATGGCACAGAAGGTGGGTGGAATTTTTTTTTTGGCCTTTTTGGCAAGGCAATCGGGGGTAAGTGATTTGCCCACGGTCTCACAGCTAGTAAGTATCAGGTGTCGGAGGCCAGATTTGAAATCAGGTCCTCCTGACTCCAAAGTAGGAACTTATCCACCTCGACAGCTAGCTGCCCCAAGGGTGGGTGGAATTTAAAGAAAGGAAAGATTACTATGGGCTAAAGTAGTCAGGGAAGGTCAGGCTTGACTTTTGAGTTGGGCCTTGAACTTTTGTGTCTTTTCTATCCCCTGTACACACAATCACAGTGTTCTTTAGGGCAAAAATGGGGACTCGTCACCTCAGGGAACAAGCACCACTCAGGAAGCTCCCACAGATCTTTCAGGCTATCCTTCCTAATACTCTCCTTGGAAATCCACAAATACACTCCTTCTCTAAAAGTGGGAAGAGTCTCCGGATGAAATCTGTTTTTCTCCCTTCTCCTACAGGGGATCCAAAGAAGGATGCTCCCAGGATGCAGGAAGGAAAGATGTTGGTTTTGGAAGTGTGATCATATTTTTTTTCTATTGAGAGCAGCTAATATTGCCAGATTCAAATACAAAAGAGACAAAAAATTCAACTTTCTGTTTTCATGCTTAACAGAAACAAGCAATTTTTAATACCCTGATTAGGAATAATGAGAAAGTAATGGAAAAATTATCCCTAGGACAAGAATATTAATTTTCCCCCCTAAAAGCCAAGTAGCAAGCTAGTCACAGAAGTTGGGGGCTTGGAATAGCAGTAAAGATGAAAGAAGCAGGTGCTAGTTATAAAGCTAATAAGAATCTCAGGAACATCCCAAACTGGAAACACCAGTCCAGCCACCATCAACTCTGATTCACCTTTGTGACTATCTCTTATACATGGTACCTGCCATAATTCAGTGCTGTCATACAGTTGGAAATTCTACCATTAACTTGAAAAGTTAGTACATTCCAGAAGATTTAAGATGTTTAGGTGCACAGGGGGAAAAAAAAAGACAAAACATAACATTTCAATAACTCTCAAGGATCTGTTATTTGAGAGTAGTGAGAAATTCTTCTATTGATGCAGACTGCAGCCCCCTCTGTACTTTGGCAGATGGCTAAAAATGAATTATTCTTCAATGAGTCAGGTAAGGAATTTCTCCTAACTTAGCTGGGTTCATCCTTAGACAAAGGATAGAAGATACAGAGCCATGACTAGACTATTCTCAAAGAC